CCCCCCCCCCCCCCCGAGGAATTAAGCTAAATTAAATGTAGAGGGGAGGGATGGCGTTCCTGACCCAACTGCATTCTCAAACTTCTCAGCGCCATTGCCTTGCACCCCTAATCGTTTAATTGTTTTGGTTCATTTTTTAAAATTAAAAAAAATAAACTATCAAAACAGTTCTTTAATTTAGCTTTGGCAATACTTTCTCCTGTTTAAGAAGAAAAAACAATCAAAAAACTTTATGCTAAAACACGCCCGTTTTTGGACCGTTTTTGGTTCATTTTTGCCAGGGGCAAAATTTGACAGTGTAAGATGGCAAAATGAATCAACAATTTTGGAACAATTGCAAAGGAATTGCCTTTTTCACACTTTGTGTGTTGCCAAATTTGCCAAATTTTGATCTTGAAAGAATACTATCAGAACCCCGACAGACAAACAATTCGTTCTTGGAACCCCTCCCCCCTTCCTTCTCCAGGTATGGTCTGTTTTTTTCATTAATCAAAAGTATTCACTCTCCTTCAGTACATAAGTTTCGAACTCCAAATCGAAAGGACTCGAGAACTCCGTTATAACACTGACACTTGTATTCATCTAGAAATAATAATAAAAATAATAAAATATTGATAAAACCAAAGATTACTTTGGAAATATTAAGAACTAATGAAAAATAGTACAATGATCTAAACCAATAAGAGAAGACAGAATAAGGCTCATTTAAAACTACTTGAATGAGAATTAAAAAGTTATTGATTCTGAGCTTTCATACTCGTGTCCCAAGACCAAAAAGCGCAACAAGATTAAGATAATAAACAATAAATAATATTTAAGAAGAAAATAAAAAAAATAAGTTACTTTGTTGAAATGATATTTTCTATAAAAAAGTATGCCTATCCCCAATTTCTACTCAAATATGAATAGTCAATTTTGCACGACTCGAGTTCATCTAGATATTTTGTGAAAATTTCTGAGGCAGATTTGATAAAGTGAGATTCTATGTTTGGCCATTTTTATGAACAAAGATACTTTTGTTGCAGATAGTAAGGATAAAAATACTAAATTATTTGTGGTTGATTTTTAGGCCTTAAATACTATTTGTGGAAGTTAGTATGTCTCTACAAGTTCTAAAGTAGTATTTTTTGGGTGTACTGGGTGTAATGTTCACCCTTTGATCATAGATGAACCCCTGCACGAAGCGCCAAATTATAATGGTTTTAAACAATAAATTTAAATTTTGAGGAACATAAAGAGAATAATTTAGGTTAAAACTTACATCATTATGTGTTAATCTAAACAAAAAATATTGCGCTTAAAAGGAGTGTCTGGCTAGACATGGTGATTGAGCTGAGAATGTAGTATAGTAGAGACCTTTTTTAGAAATCATTTGAGACTTATAAGACGTTAGTACTGTTTTTTAAAGAGACCCCATCCCCACTCTGTGTTAATTCTATGCGCATGGTATACAATATGGGTATCGATTCCCATTAAATCACATGTTTTAAGCTTGTTTCTGGCATTCATAACACTCTCCGACCTTTACTATCCTCACCACCCACCTTCTGAAGGGTGTACATGTCGTCGTCAAAAAAAAGGCATTTTATACATACAGCGCCCAGCATGATATGGCGCAGCAGGCTTGCACAATTTTGCATTCTTAGCTATATTACCATGTCTCCCTTTAATATGTAATTTTATTTTGTTTACCTTGAAATGATGGATAAGAATATCAGTGAGGAGAGGGTTTGTTCTCAACCTTTTATCAGAGAAGAAAACCAAGGTGAAGTCTCCTCCTCGATCCTGAACCCAAGATTTAGTTTCAGCTGCAGTAATTCCATTAAGATGCGAGTTATGATTCCGTCATGATAAAAAAATATAATTTTCCGCGACATTTTGCTGAAATTTACCAATAAAAGATGAGAGTTTTATGTCTCATTGGTTCACACTTGAGAAACAAGTTTTTTAGTATGATTATGCTTTGACAGTTATATTTTCCACTTGGATCCGTGGATCAAAAGCAAGGGAGCCAAAATATTGCTACTCACTGTACTCAACCCTTACTTACATCGGCCTTATTTACAAAGGTTACATGGAACAGTCTACCAGACCATAGAGCCTAAAACCTTAAACATTTTCAAGAACAGTGTTACGATGAATGATGATAATGTGAAAAACGTCGAGCATATATCGTGAAAAATATCGATTTAAGAATTGCTTTAAATATTACCAAAAATGGTGTCTCAGCAAAACCAGAACAATATATAGCAATATAACCTTTAAAACCTCTGTCTGGGAAAAATAAATGATATTTTCTTAGTTTTCTTTCTAGCGAACTGGTATATTTCACTTTATTTACGAATCTGCTTCAGAGACAACGAAAAAAATTGACAAAATTTGTTTCTTTACAGTGACCCCGTGCAAATATGGGAATATCCGATTCACGACGGTACCCTTAAAACCTTTATCTAATCAATAAAATGCAAGATATTTTCATTTTTCTAGATTTCATTCTGATAATATGTTTTTCTGCAGTTGAAATGCTTATGTTACTTTTGTAATTCTAAACCAGATTTTAAAATAATCAGTTTTAAAATTAAAAACATTAACATCTAATTCAAAGTTGATAAGACTAGGGTTTAGGGGCTTTGCCTTCTTTGCATGGCTCAGTAACATTATGCCTAGTTCCCGAATGCCTAGTTCGTGATTCGTGAATGCCTAGTTCACTATGCCTAGAGTCATGAATGCCTAGTTCGTAATGCCTAGATAACATTATGCCTAGATAACACCATGCCTAGATTCATGAATGCCTATATAACATTATGCCTATATTTCTAAATGCCTAGAACACATTATGCCTAGATTTCATAATGCCTAGTCACCCAATGCCTAGATAACATTAGACTGAATTGAATGTCTATATACATTGTCAAGCAATAAATAAATGATACTAATATGTTTACATGATTTATTAGATATTTTATTGGTCAAATTTTTGCCTATCATGGGCCAAAGTAGAAATATAATCTGAAATATATTGCGGATTTTTGTAAAAATGTTACCGGATTGTGTTTTTTTTTCTCTCTCTTTAATATTTTTATTTCTCTTTGAAATACATTGTCTAGGCATTAAATGCACTTTTATGTTATCTAGGCATAATGTTATCCAGGCATTCATGAATCTAGGCATTGTGTTCTCTAGGCATAATGGTATCTAGGCATTATGAACTAGGAATTCAAAAATCTAGGCATAATGTTATCTAGGCATTCAGAAATCTAGGCATAATGTTGTCTAGTCATTCATGAACTAGGCATAGTGAACTAGGCATTCACGAACTAGGCATTCGGGAACTAGGCATAATGTTACTGAGCCCTTTGCATAAAGGGTCAATTAAACTTGGTCCTCAGTCCCTTTAATATTTGAATAAAGCCTATTTGAATCTAAAGTTTCCTTGAAAGCATGAAGAAATCTTTCAATAAGATAAACCAGGTGCAAACTGTTAACTCCGAAATCCTAAAAATGTTTTATTTATAAATCAGGAGATATTTTTTATTTTGACGTGACTGTTAAGCAATTAAATTTGAATTACTAGGCTTTCAGGGTGCCCATTTTCTATTCTTTTGTGAACATTTTCACTTTGTAAATAAAAATTGAGGATTTTATAAAAAAAATCTTGGATTTTCAAAATTAAATGAAATTTAAGGTTGTTAGGGGCAAATTTTTCACATTTTGATTGTTCCCAAACAACACAAAATTTTGGCCGGATCAGTTCAGCCGTTTAGACGTTTATTGGATACAAACAAAGAAACAAAGAAACAAAGAAACAAACACCCAAACAAACAAACAAGCAAAAACCCAAACAAACAAACAAACAAACAAACACCCAAACAAACAAACAGACAAGCAAACTATGTATACAGATAGATGATTCCTTAGGGGTTTAGCACTGTCTGTATAAGATCTACGAGAACGTTTCTGTTTTGTAAACTATAAATCTAACCTGGATTGTCTCCTTATTCTCCTCGTGCAGAAGTTGGATGAGAGCTTGTGCATCCACCAGAAATATTTCAGAATCAGCAAACTCCCAACATATATCCATATAGTTTGGGTTCACTATAGGATTTGGGATCTAAACATATATCCATGTAGGTTGGATTTACTACAGGAACATATATCCATATAGGTTGGGTTTACTATAAGAATAGGGATCTAAGAAAAAATCCATATTGGTTGGGTTTACTATAAGAATAGGGATCTAAGCAAAAATCCATATTGGTTGGGTTCACTATAGGAATAGAGATCTAAGCAAATATCCATATAGGTTGGGTTCACTATAGGAATAGGGATCTAAACATATATCCATATAGGTTGGGTTCACTATAGGAATAGGGATCTAAACATATATCCATATAGGTTGGGTTCACTATAGGAATAGGGATCTAAACATATATCCATATAGGTTGGGTTCACTATAGGATCGGGCATCTAAACATATATTCATATAAGTAGGGTTCACTATAGGATTTGGGATCTAAACATATATCCATATAGGTTGGGTTTACTACAGGAACATATATCCATATAGGTTAGGTTAACTGTCGGATTCGGGATCTAAACATATATTATATCCACATATAGGTTGGGTTCACTAAATGATAGTGATCGCGATTTAAAATATTTTTTCGTAATTTTTTGTCTGAACCAAAAACTGGTAATGGTTTCTAATGTATCATTTATCCCAGGAAACAACATATATAAGCATTATTATATAGTTATGTTTTCAAACTATTGAAGCGTTAAGTATGAAACAATAGAATCCCTAATAATTACATGGCAATAATAAAAACCATAGGGATGAAATGGGTCAGTTTACGAGTATAAAATTACTACAAAATATATTAAATCAAGAACATGTTTGTCTTTTAAATGGCTTAGCATAAACATCAATCATGGATAAATATGTGCATGAAATATTTTGTATTACTCCAGGGTTAGATTAGGTTAAGACAATTTCTGGACCCAGCGCTGCGGCTATGACAGGCTAGGGGGCCGAGCGCTGAGGCTAGAACAGGCTAGGGAGCTGAGCGCCACGGGCAGTCACATGACCAATTTTATCCATGAGATCCACCTCACCACGGAAATACCTTAAAAACCACAAAAATCCACTTTTGAGGAATTTCCGCTTTATTTTTGGAAAACCCTCAAAACTGGAAAAGGGTGAGGTATTTCCGGATATTTTTGTGTTGTTTCCCAATATTTATAATTGAGGTGTTTCCTCCTTTTTTATACGTTTCCGCATATTTTTGAGGCGTTTCCACTTTTCAAAGAAAAAACTATATTTAGTTGAGGTGTTTCCTCTTTTTATGTACTATAGCAGGGGCGTACGAGAGCTTTAGTGTAGGGGGACACATTAATTTTTGGTGCGCACACCTTAAGAAGATTTTGTGCTGGGCCCCATAAAAACCCCTATTTTAACAAAATTACTGATTATTTATTTATATTAATGTACCGTATATCTTTTATGCTTAGGCTTTTCTTGGGTTAGAACAGAAAATTTTTGTTGTTTATATTTAAGAGGAGCAAAATAAATGAGATTTTGTCAAAAACTCCTTAACTATAGTAAAAGCCCAAGTTTGAAATAAGGTTTTGCACCATCAGGTTTCAAAGATATAGGAAACATAAAATATGAGTTAGTGGCAAAAACTTTCTTGAAATATCTTTCCCCTTTACAAAATAGTTAATCTCGTTCTCCACCCAGAAATTAAACACCATCAGGTTTCAAAGAAATAGGGATACGAAAATGTAAGAAAAACTATTTTTAGATGAATAAAATGGATGAAAACTTGCCTTTTGATGTCCAACTTATCTCTTCTTTTTTGATTACCAAAATTATTTTTTACAGAAATAACGACAGGCTATAAGAGCCGAGCGCTGGAGCTAGGACAGGCTAAGGTGGGCGAGCGCCACTGCTATGACAGTCTAGGGGGCCAGGCGCTGCGGACATATGGTCAATTATATCCATGTCTTACATATAAGATCCATGTACAAAATTGATAGGAGGGGGGTCCAAAAATCGTATATTAGGAAATGACCCGCCTTTTAGAATATGTTCTGGGTCTGTCCTAGAGAATGATTTTTGGACCCCCCCAGGCCCCCCCCCCCCTACCTATCAATTTTAAACATGACGAAATTGTTAAATTAGAATTTATTTATTGTTATTTAGAGTTAGGTTAGTTAAGACACTTTCTGGGCCGAGCGCTGCGGCTAGGATAGGCTAGGGGGCCGAGCGCTGCGGCCGCGGGTTAGGTTAGTTAAGACACTTTCTGTGCTGAGCGCTGCGGCTAGGACAGATTAGGGGGCCGAGCGCTGCGGCCACGGGTTAGGTTAAGTCAAGACACTTTGTAAGATCCATGTACAAATTTGATGGGAGGGGGGGGCCTGGGGGGGGGTCCAAAAATCGTTCTCTAGGAATATACCTATAGTTCTGTTCCTCGCTAAAGCTCGGGAAAAAATTGAATCTATAAAGACTTGATTCTTCTCGATAAAGAGAAAATTTCTGTCCAATAACTTTATAACAGTGTGAAAAAAAAAAGCCACTTTATATCGCTTAGCTTAAACTTACCCTAGGAACCTCGAGCTTGTCTTCCTCCATAGTATTTTCTCGCTCTTCGCGATCAATTGCTACGTCTTTCTCAATTCTTCGACATATATTGTGAAAAAAATCTGAAAACAAAATTATTATTTATTTAAAAATCACGATTAATTTTCGTTATTTAAGTTTATAAATCCTAGATGATATTTATGTGCAGTTCAGATCGAATACAAAATTTAATTTAGAAAGGGTTATGAAAACTTACAACTAAGATAATCTCAACCTTTAACATACAAATGAATAAATTAGTCAAATGCAGAGTAAAAATCGAACGGCGCGGAATTATTTATACAGCTTAGACGACTTAGACCCAATCTCTGTACAGAATTAAAATCGAAAAATAATTAATGCTACCTTTCCACTTTTGATACTAAGAACAAATATGTCTCAGTGTTCTGCGAGTATAGTTAATTCTGCTAAACTGCAGAATAGCAATAGAATCTGTAGTGTACACTGTATAGTATTAGTGGCAATACTTTCTCCTGTTTAAGAAGAAAAAACAATCAAAAAACTTTATGCTAAAACACGCCCGTTTTTGGACCGTTTTTGGTTCATTTTTGCCAGGGGCAAAATTTGACAGTGTAAGATGGCAAAATGAATCAACAATTTTGGAACAATTGCAAAGGAATTGCCTTTTTCACACTTTGTGTGNAGTTGAAGATTGATGATTAATGCTAATCAGCTAAATCATGGAAAATTCTTTATTATTATACATAAAGAGCATTCCATGACTTAAAAAATTTCGCAATTGTTATAAAGGTCATGCAGATCTCATCATGTAGAAACTTTCTGAACAAATTGAGCAGCGTGCTTACACCTTGAAGAAATGAATTAAACTGGCTAAGATTTGACAAATGAGCGCGCTTTTCAGCGGGCCCTCGTTTTTTATCATCCTTTTTGATTTCATATCGGAAGAAACAGTTTGTCTTTTCATCCTCAAAGTTCTTCAGACGGACTGATAAATTAGTTTTGATCCGACGATGGAGTCAAACTCCGACAGCAAACAATTGCAGACTAAAAAAAGACGGCTTTTAATCATCCCATGCCGGAGCTCCACAAAAAGACATTTGCGGATGAAAAAAAGAGTTCCGATCACAGTAGAAAATAAGAAAACGGTGGAAAGAAAAATTAATTTTCCAGCTGGGATGGGATGGAGTTTAATTTAAACTTTAGCTTCCCCCTCCCTCTTTCCTATAGACAAAACCTTTTTTAAAACTTCCATCCCGCCAATATAGTACACGGTGGTTCACCGTTACTCATAACATAGTAACTACTGAAACTGCAGTGAACAGAGCTGAAAACTTTAGAATGGTGGATATCAGGATTAAGGAGAGTTTGTTAATATCCAGTTTAAATATTGCTTGTTCTCAACATGAATTTAAACTCCAGAAAAGTTAATCCATCGGATATCTGGATATTTCATTCTAAAGTTTTCAGCTCAGGTCGAATAGATTAGGTTTATAGAGCGTTGCAATTACGCAGCTATGAATGCAACTCATATTTGGAGTTTTTTCTTTATAATTTAAACAGATTATAAAGATTCAAATTTGCTTCCAGATGTTCAGGGTTTTATTTGCTAAATTGGGTCGAATATGATTCAATTGAGGGCCGAAAATAAATATAAGAAATATTAAGGTTGTATAAAGTTTAAAAGGATGAAATAAAAAGATATGCCTTTCGTGATGATCACATATCCATTTTTTAATTTTATTATAATTTACACAGATGTAATACTTGTTTAAGTATTTGTGGACACAATTTACAGTGTATCCAATTGATTTTGGTATATGTATTTGTCGACACATAATTACCATTTACAGTGTAATCCTTGATTTTGTTATGTATTTGTGGACACAATTATAATTTCCTTGATTTTGTCAAAGTATTTGTGGACTCGTAATTACAATTTACAGTGTAATCCTTGATTTTTTTTATGTATTTGTGGACACAATTATAATTTCCTTGATTTTGTTAAAGTATTTGTGGACTCGTAATTATAATTTACAGTGGAATCCTTGATTTTATTATAGTATTTGCGGTGCAACATAATTATAATTTAGAGTGTAATTAGGGGTTCCAGCGAAAAGGAAAAATCGTTTCGCAAAAATTTCGCATTTTTCTCGAAAAAAAAATTTTCGTGACCATTTCGCTTCATTTTCGCATTTAGTTTGCTCGCGAAAAATGTAAAAATTTTTGCCTTTTTCACAAAATTTTGCTTCAATCTGTTTCGCGTAAAAATAATGCGAAAATTTAGCGAAATATTAATGCTAAAATTTTGCATTATTCTGCGAGCTCAATTGATGGATTAATTAAAAGATAAGAACGACTACAGGAGACATCAGTTAATTCAAAGATTTGCTTGAAAATATTTTCTAGACTGTAAAAATCTTTCTTCTTAACACAAAATAAAATCCACTACAGGAAGAACCTAAATAATTTTGAAAAAGTAGCTATTCTTCAAATATATTGAGCAGAGCAGAGAATTCCACAAGTTCTTTAGAGCAATTATTTTTTGCAGCTATTATTAAGCTCATGGTTTTCACTAAATTTTCGCATTTCGCGAAAATACTTTTGAATTTCACGAATCGCATTTTGTAAAAATAATTTAAGTATTTCACATTTTCGCGAAATTTTGCATTTTCGCGAAATTTCGCTATGTTTTTGCTTCATTTAATTTCTCGAAATTTCGCGAGAAAAGTTTGCGAAATGCTACCGAAAATTTTCATATTTTTTAGCAAAACGTTTCCCTACTGAACGTTTCCTTACTGAATATTTTCTTATTGAACGTTTCCTCGCAAAAGCAGTATCCTTACAAAACGTTTCCTAACAAAATGTTTCATTATACTGAATGTTTCCTCAAAAAACATTTGCTGCCACAAAACGTTTTCTTCATCGAGATTAGATTATACATTCTCTTTGGTTTTCTTACAAAACATATCCTTAAGAAGTTTCCTACACAGAACCTTTGCTATAACACAAAATATTTCCTGCCACACTAATAATTCTTGATTTGTTCAGTATTTGGAGGACACCACTGAGGTTAAGGAGGCCAAGCAAGAGTTCCTGGGAGTCTTTAATCAAGCTCTTAACGGATTCATCAAAAAAGTTTTTATTGGTAAGAACATTGTATGTGGAAATGTATTCTTTGAACTTAATGGTATAAAACAACAGATTTCCTAAAATACGCAAACAGTTTAAAGAATGTTTAGAATACTGTAGGGATGGGCATTTTTTTACTTTTAAAAAAGATTGTATAAATGTATTTCGCATGTCACATTTGGACAAAAATTAAGAAAGGGGGGGGGGTGGTGGAAAATAAATGTTACTTTTTACAATAGAAATGTTCAATTACCAAGTTAATTTGCATAAAGAGAAAGTAAACAAAAAACTATCATTTTGTAAATATAGATTTCATTGTTTCGTTTTCAATAACTGAAAACTAACATTTCGTTAATTAAGTTTCTGTTGACAAAGGCTGATTAGGTTTGAAAAATCAAAAGTGAAACGAAAGCTTTTTGCATCGTTTTTAAAAATGATTTCCATCACATGAGCACACTTACAAGAATAAGATGAATCATTTGTTAATCCTATAATTAAATTGGCCCGGTACTATGTGGCAGAAAAACCTAATCTCATAGATTTTTTAACCAAAATTACAATAATCAAACTAATATTAGAGGACACTGCTGATGTAAAAGCTGCCAAAGAAGATTTTTTCAAGGTGTTTATTGATGCTACCAACGGACTAATCAAAACTGTAGAAAACTTCTACATTGAAGGTAATTGCCAAAAATCAGTCAAATAAATAAATGGACTTTTAAATTCTAGGGTTGAATATTTACAAGAAATTCAAAATAAATTTTTCAATTTTATTGGCCTTTAGAAAATATGCTGTTCAGAAAAATATCATTAACAAGTTTAGATGTTTAGATTTTGAACGCCATGCCATCGTAAATTTTGTGAGTTTTCACAGGAAATAAAAGCAGTAAAATTCAGAATAAGCAGCTATTATATTAATTGTCTCAACTTTTAACTTTTTATTTGTGGCTAAAAAGAGAATTTTATATACAATATTTTCTAATTTATTCTCATACTAAAAGAAAATTTCAAATTTACTGAATTATTAAAGAAGATGTGTTAGTTCCAATTCATAAATATATTCCTTAAACATTTTCTAAAACATATCTTAATCTCTGTTACCATTTAAGGTATGAATACTATGAAGACAGCAGACAACATTTTCAAAAGCACATAAGTCGTAGATTCCGTTTTTGTACACAACTTGAAACTGATTAATTATCAAAAAAATTTAAGACCTTTTAGATGTCATTTTGTTGTTTTTAAATATTTCAATGAACTATGAACTGTTTCGATTTTCCCTACAGTGTGTGTGCTTGTCGGTTCCAGAAGCGCTTGTTCTGTTTAGATACCGAGGAAGTGAAAGCAGCCAAGGAGAAGTTCAACCAAGGGTTCAAGGATGCTGAAGCTGGGATTGTTGGGGCTCAGGAAAATCAAGCAGATCATTTTATCTGTTTGTTCTTATTTGATTTTTCGTTCATACAAGAGAACAGCATAAATTGCGCATTTTTAATGATAGAATTGCTGATTAAAAAAAATGACTTTAAAAGATCTTCGAATTTTTTTTGAACATCTTAGGAAGCACACTTTTTTCAGAGACACCCGGTATGTGAATTACCCAGCAAACATTTAGTCTCGACCCTGCAATGGCTTATATTTGAATATAAGGTGCCAGAAACAGGACAAACTCCAGAGGTTTACATCGAGTGAAAATTGGCCTTGTCACAAAATTCCCTTTGAAATGAGCAGGAAAAAAATAGTTTTAAAATTCGGTGATGGTGATGGACCAAACCACTGAAGAGTAAAAAAGTATTTATTGAAAATATATTTCGGTCTGGGTTGACCCTAGTCAGTTCTTGAGATTGCTTCTTCACAAAGATTAAAAGTTTTTTTTGTTGTATATCAGATGTTTTAAAATGCCTTTTGGTGACATTAAATTATCTTCATTAAATTCTGTCTAAGGATATTTAAAAACGGATTTGTTACAGCCTAAAAAAAAAAGTAAAACTGTAGTTTTAATGTGAAACGTTTTAAATGATATGTTATTGTGTTTAGTATATTCCATATACTCCTGAAGTTCAAGCTGCAAGGGATCAATTTTTCAGATTCTTCGATCTAGGTCAGTACGTAAATAAACTATTGTTTTAAGATCGTCTTTTAAATAGATTTATTACTAATTATTTACAACTTTTTTACTTTGTCATGGGTTCCGAAGACCAAATTTTCTTACCAAACATCCAGAGCCCAGCGAGGGATGTTTTGCAGGCAAAATTGGTCGAGGGAACCAGTGGTGAAGTAAAAATTTAAATTTTCCGACCAAGAAAACTTTGAAAAGTGGTTGGTTATTTTACTTAATTGTCCCAAAGGACATAAGGTAACTAAATGTCACTCTGTTGGGGCAATCATAGGTTGGTAATAATGGGTAAAAATAATATCCACTTAAAATAAAACAATTATTGGGTACTCAAATATAAAATCTTAAAAATTTATCATTGACACACTTTTGACCCTAACGTAAGAAGTTAGAACTGATTTATTTCAGTTGTGAACGGCATGTTGTACAAGTTGGCGCCAAAACCTGTTCCCATACAGTACATTCAAGATACAGCTGATGTAAACAATGCAAAGAAGGATTTTCTTCAACTTTACAGGTTTGTGCAGCTATGAATGTGGGGTATGTACTGTACTGTTGTACATGACAGTTATGTAAATGTTTTGATAATACATTTTGTTATACAGGTTTATACTGTACACTTACGGACACGTAATAAATTGTTGCAGAAACAAAAGTGGTCATAAATTAAAAGTATATTACCCTTAGGAGGCGGGTTCTCACCTAGTTTAAGAAAAAGAAAATGATTTGCAATCTTCAGATATGAACTTATTTTCACACAGTACAATGTCAAAGCCTTAGATTCTAGCCTTTGTTTGTTTGTGCGATTCTTTGATAGGTTCAGAGGTTATTTAATGATGCTCACACAGCGACCGAGCCCTCCCTCCCTCTCCGGTTATACTTTTAAACTTATTCTCTCCTATATTTGTAGGTCAGCTCTGGGGGGAGATTTCAAATCAGCTTTAACTGTTGTAGCATTAGAGGAAGCAATCAAGTAAGTTTTTCACAATTTTATCTACAATGAGAACAAAAAAACTCTGGGAAAGGAAGACGACTTTTAGACTCAAGTTATAAATTCAAATGATCCAATATATACAGAACATAGCTCTTGTGCAGTGTTAACAGACCCATTTCACTTATCAAGTGATTTTATAAGTTACTAGTAAAACATTTTTCNTTTTGGTTATAAAATAATATTCCGGTCACGTGGTTCAGGAAATGATCAGAATTCTAGAATCTGGGGATTCAAATAAAATTCAGGTACAGCCACAGTCGCCACAGATAAGGTAGACAAAGATGCATCATTGACGCGGACCGCCCTGCCTATGTGGCCCGAAAGGGATTTACTGATCATACAGCTGAATATTTTGAGTTAATCAATCAATCAGATTTTAGATTTGTTGTATATGGTGCGGTGGTGTATTTTTCGACCTACGCAAATCCGCTATACTCCACTTCTGACCTACGCCAAATCCGCTATACTACACATCCGACCTACTAGTACGTGGTTTTACAGCTGCTATATGGACTTCCGGCCGCAGCGCCCGGCCCCCTAGACTGTCCTAGCCGCAGCGCTCGGCCCAGAAATTGTCTTAACCTAACCTAACCCTCAAATAATACAAAAATAAACAGCTGGCGTAGGTCCGATATTGCCGTAGGTCGGAAGTTCAGTAGGGGGGATGTTGCGTATAGACGATGTAACATTACCATATGGTGCACATAACACAACTTTCTAGTGGGTCTGGGGAGGGAGCGTGGCTAGAAATTTGTCTAAGTAATTATTTAAGTACAAATATATTTTTTTCTGAAGCACATTGTGCATTTTTACATGATCATTGCGGCATTATGCACTTTTAAAGGGACTGTAAAGGAAAAAAAGGAGGGCATAGGCTGAAAGCTATAATCACTTCAGCTCTCGATCGCGACCCATGAAAGTTATATCTGATGTTCCTATCTCGAGAAATTGATTTACAACTTTGTCAAATTTATACGAAAATTAATATATATACAATTTTGTATAAAAGTAGTGGTTTTAAAAAGATAAAATTCAGCAATTATGCAACCAATCTGAAAACTATGATATCCCAGAGAATGCTAATTGTAACTTAGGTTTACTCCAATTCTAATTTTATATTTGTTATTTCTATTTTTAATAGATTTAATTCATAATATTATTTATACTTCCGTGTTACTTGACCAGAAGTTCCACCAATGGTAGTGCAGTAAAGTGGTCACATGATACAGGCGGAGACACGTGACCAGTTTACTGCTCTGCCAGTGGTGATAGTTCTGGTCACGTGATTTAAGTTTAAGATTTTCTAAATTTTACATTTATGAATTTTCGTATAATTTTAACACGGTTTTATACCAATTTCTCGAGACAGGAACATCAGATAAAACTTTCATGGGTCGCGATCAAGAGCTAAAGTGATTAGCTTTCAGCTTATACCCCCTTTCACTTTTCCTTAACAGTCCCTTTAAACAACATGTACCGACTTGTACTAGACGCCCGTTACGTGTAAACCCTGCATCTTTGTCTGAGCTGTGTGTACAGCTTACATAAAGTTCAAGGTTGCCCATCATGAAAGATAGAACTTCAATGACGACCACGACCCGAAACCTGAGGATCTGAAAGTCAAAGATTTTCATAATTTGTAAATCCTTGTTTAAGAAATTGAATGAATTTTGTTTCTAAAGTTCTCCAAATTTACCATAATAAATGACCTGATAAAAGTTTTACATAACATACAGAACATCCGCAAAAAAAGGACCTTTTTTTAAAAAAATTTATTATTAAAATTCTTATTTTTTGGCACTAGTTTGAATTTATACCATTTTTTCTCAATTTGTGCTAAACATAACTTAGAGGATGCTTGTCTCATCCATTAAGTGTAACCCTATACAGTTTACCATTTGCAGAACAGCTGAATTAACGTCTATATTATTCTAGGATTTCTTAACTTACAACGCAACAGATGAGGAGTCATCTGATGAAGAAACCGAGAGGTCGTCTGAAGAAGATACGGAGCAGTCTTCTGAAGAGGAAGCCGAGAATTCATCTGGAGAAGTATCTGAGCAGTCGTCGGACAGATCTGAAGAGGATACCGAAGAATATGTATCCAAAGTCTTTAACAAGTTTGAAGAAAATGAAGAAAACAAAGCTGTTGAAAATAAGGATGCCATTTTGGACGATCTGTTCGAACACAATTCTGAATCTATGAATGAGAGCGTTAATGATGATAACATTGAATCTGTAAATGAAAACGTTGATTTTGGTGCTCTTGATGCGATTGCGGACGAGAACCTAGATAAGCTTGAGAAAGATCTTGATGATGTTCTTGAGAAACTGGATGACGAGGAAGATTATGAATATAATTGATCAATTAATTATTAAAATACAAATTATAATTTAGAAATTTAAGATTAGTGACAGCACTTTGGACAGTGAAAAATGTATGAAAATTTTGAAGAAAAAGAATTTCGAATTATTATGGCCATGTTACCCCCAAGGTTAGAAATTGGGTTTCTAAAAATATTTCTGTTCAGGCAGTCTGTCAGTTGACTTATGGCTTTGACTTTGGACACAACGTGCCCAATGACTGCCTAAAACAATCACAAAAATTTGAATCCTGCCATTAAAATTTTAAAAAATTGCAAAAATGAGAAAATAACCACGGTAACGTTTGATTTTAGACCTGAAAATACACTTAATTTTTACGATGTCTTAAAAAGGTCTAAATAGAAGTCCTCCACAGTCAGTATCCAGTAAATATAAATACAGGAGACAGAGTAAGTGTACCACGAAATATGACAATTAATTGTCTGATTATTAGCCAGGAGTTGTTCTATTAAAATAGAACAGAAAAACTGAAAACACAATTTTATTCTTTATTTAATCGATTAAAATGCGAACGAATTTTTTGACTACTCAGATCATTTTGAAACTCACAAAATATCAGATTTAAAAAAATGGGTTTTAAAAACAAGGAATAGACACTTTTTTAGTATGATAGCTAGTATGGGAGAACAACAAGAATATGGTTCTGTTTTCCCATACATGTTTTAACCATTCCCACTCCCAACTCACCTAGCCAATATTAAATTATGGTTAAAATGTTTTATTTGAAACTAAATATAAACTTATTACATGGAATGTATAAAGCAACTGACCTATAGACTGATCAGTTTAACAGGGTTTCAGGACTATTTTACAGGGACAACTGACTAATTTCAAGAAACCATCCATTTAAAGAGTTAAAGTCTTGATTCACAACAGTAATTTTGTCTTTGAATGATAAAGATATCCATGTTTTTCAGATTTAGGTTATGTAAATCTTTAATTGGAGATGCACTTGAAATAACGTGAATTGTCCCATTACATGAAAATACAACATTGGTTTATCAAGTTTTGAAAACTAGACAAGCTGAACAATGAACATTTAATGGTCTTTTATTGTTATTCTTTTTAAATAAAAGGTTCAGATCCGTAAACAAATCCAAGTTCGAAAGGACTTCTTGATTTCACCATGTTACCCTGTATAAAATGTGTATGGAGAACAAAAACAGAAAGAAAAATTATTAATTTATTTTGTGGTACCTTTAACAACATCTGACTCTGATTGAACAAATATTGATTCATCTAAATTAAAATATTTATCCATTTTACTATTGAATGAAATAGCATGGTATGCTTCTATTTTGTTCACTATTGGATCCCAGTCCTCTATGTTTAAGTAGATCTAAAAATCAACGCATTTCGTGAAATTAAAATTTCTTATTTTTGATAAAACTTTAAATACATTTACAAAGATCAGGGTTACATACTGCAAATCAAATAATCTATATGAGAAATGCAGACTTAAGTACAAACATAAAATAACTTCTAAAACCTTCTGATAAAATGTGGGATATATTTGTTTGAAAATTTACAATTATAATACATAACTTATTTATATATGCATAATGTAGAGCAATGGGTTTATAACACTTCATCGAAGGTTTTAAAAAATAAAATATTTCACAATTTCATAACCGTTAAAAGTCGAGTTTTTAAAAGTTTCAGTTTCCATAAGATCTTTCATATATATATTGCATTTGACTGAATTCCTGGTTTTATATCACTGCAGTGCTCACATGAAGGGATGCGCCTAAAAAGTAAATAAAAGTAAATTTTTTAAATATTTCAATTTTATTTATTTGAATTACTCGAGCTTATTTTTTTCTAAACAATTCATTTTGAGTTTATGTTAATACACTGATAACCAGAAAACTATTGAATAGGAAGACGATTTTGAGAATCAAGAAATAACTTTAAAAAGTTCAATGAGCTTGTGGAGTGATGTAAACAGATTTAGTTCACTCTTTGCTTTGTAATCATCAAATACACTAAGTATCGCTATAATGTCGACTTCCTATTCCATTGTTTTCTTGTTATAACTAAGTAATTTGCCAGAGACATGTTGATGAGGGAGGGGGGGCCATGCGGCCATGAACCCCGCAATATCCTGTTCGAACCCAGGTAGTTAGCAGAACCCAGTTCTAACCCCTCGGAAGCCTGTTCAAACCCCGCGGAACCCTGTTTGAACCCCGCCAAAGACTGTACAAAAAATAATCTTTTAATAATAATTGAATTAAAAAGGAAAAAATTCAAAAATTCAAACAAAATTCTTTTAGCTTTAAGATAAAAATCAATTCTCATTCTCAGTGTAAAATTTTGTCTTTGCTAGATTTAATAATTACTTTAAATGAGCTGACTGCGGTGATAAAGAGATAATAATTAATATCTTCCATATAAATATAAATTGCAACTTATTATTTATCAAAAAAAACTGATTCCGATTCATTAAAAGTGGGTATGAAGTATATAATTTTGATATTAATGTTTTTTATAAAATTGCTTTGACCACTTTTAATTTAGTGTTTATTAGATCTATGCAATTAAAAAAAAAGTTTGAACAAGAACGGTCTTTCACAGGGTTGGAACAGGCTTCCACGGGGTTCGAACAGGGTTCTGCTAACTACCTGGGTTCAAACAGGATATTGCGGGGTTCATGGCCGCATGGCCCCCCTCCCTTTGTTGATAATTGTATAGGAAAAAGAAAGATGACAATTTTTCAGAAGTCGTCGGACGCAGCAAGGACATACGGTATAAGTGTCATCACGTGGTAAAGTTATCTTATACCAAAGTTGCTAAAAAACAAGGTGCCGTGACAAACTCCTGAAAGACAAACTCCTGAAAGACAAACTCCGGAAAGACAAACTCCTGAAAAGACAAACTCCTGAAAGACAAACTCCGGAAAGACAAACTCCTGAAAGACAAACTCCTGACGAGACAAACTCCTGACGAGACAAACTCCTGAAAGACAAACTCCTGAAATTATGAAATTTTTCTCTGAATGAAATATGATAAAATTCATAAACTTTAGGAGACAAAATCCGCAAATATCCTAGAAAAAATTCTCAATCTTTAGTAATTTGAATATGTTTCAAGCAGCAAAGTATTACAATGATCAGAATAACCAGCAAGTTTATTATAATTTATTTTTATTATTTAGGGTTAGGTTAGGTTAAGACACTTTCTGGGCCGAGCGCTGCGGCCATGGGTTAGGTTAGTTCAGACACTTTCTGGGCCGAGCGCGCCGGCTAGGACAGGCTACGGGGCCGAGCGCTGCGGCCATGGGTTAGGTTAAGTGTTGACACTTTCTGGGCCGAGCGCTGCGGCTAGATTAAATATGAATTGTGAAACATTTTTTAAATTTGATATTATGGAGTTTGTATTTCAGAATTTTTTATTTTCAGGAGTTTGTCTCGTCAGGAGTTTGTCTTTCCGGAGTTTGTCTTTTCAGGAGTTTGTCTTTCCGGAGTTTGTCTTTCAGGAGTTTGTCTTTCAGGAGTTTGTCACGGCGCCAAAAAACAAGCCTCTGACAAAATACTAAACATCCAGCTGACGGCTTAGAGGGAGTAACCGGCTATGAAGGTAGTTGAACTGAGTATGCAGTATTGTGGTAAACTTCATTTGGATTCATTTGAGACATTTTAAACTTTTTAAAGATCTGTAAATCCCGATTTTGACCGCAAATTCGACGTTCAAAACTCCTACTTCGGGAGTGGATACGTTTTCAGAATTAGTTTTTTAAAATTATTAAATAACGACAACATAAAATGTAAAAAGTTTTACAATAAACTACAGACGTCATGTATAGGAACATGTTGAGAAAGTAAAAATTAATTCTTATCATCGAAAATAAGTAAGCTTGTTCAATTATTAGTTTCTAATTTCTCATTATTCACAAAGATTTTCGCAGATTTCCTAGAATTATTATTGAAAAGACGACATTTGAAGAATTTGAAGAAATCTGCGAATAAATTAAAAGAAAATAAGAAATTCAATTTAATAATGAAAGCGAAAAAATCGATTTTAGCATTGATTTACTGACAAATTTCTTTTGAGAAATTTGTTCCTAACCATCTAATTAGATTACTGTATAATTTTTACTTTATTTTTCGTTGTCGTTATTTAATTAATAAAAATAAATCCACCCCCAAAGTAGAGTTTTGAACGTCGAATTTGCGCTCAAACTCAGATTTACAAATCTTAAAAAAGTTTAATATGTCTAAAAAGCAAACTCAGTTCAACTAACTTACATAGCCGGTCACTCCCTTTAAAAACATTTTCTACTCTCACTAGCCGCAGAATAGATCTGGTAACCTAACGACCTACAAATTGACAAACTCTTTAAGAAAATCTTAAAGAATTAAGAAGACTTTAATAGAAAAAGACGATTCTTAATCACGATGATGATATCTTTCTTATAGTTTCTCAGAAAGGAATAAATATTAAATTGTAAATCGGACATGCCAAATAAAATCATAAAATCATATCCTAACTAGAAAATAGGAGTTGTAAACACAAGGAATTGACTTCAAATGAGCAGTAACAGTGTTTAACTGTGTTTAAATAGTTAGGATTTGTGTAACATTAAAACTAAATTTGCTTATCATGGAAAGAAGAATATTTAAAGAAGCAAAAAAGATGCATGCAGTTTGAGAACATATAAAATGTAAACAATTTACTTCAAAATTGAAGATAAAAGGATCACAAAACACTTAAAATGTAATATTTTAGAAATTTGCATATAATCAACATTTTAACTTACTACTAACACATTTTTATGTACACTGTGCAGGGGTATATAATATTGTCTACAAAAATCTATCCCCTATCAAAGTTCACATGGTGTTTACTCAAAAAAATGTGAAGCGCAGAACACAAATATATATTTTTTACTGTAAGTTAGAAGAAATTAATAAGGGGAGATACTGACAAAAATATATTTCCCTTGTAAAATCCAAAACCATGATATTGAACTAAAAGTGTTTAATACTAACATGCATTGTTTAGAGGAGTCCACCAAAAGGATCGTTATCAGGGATGGTTCCAGTAGTAAGACCAGGAGCCCCAGTATTGAACCCTGGAGTACTCCCGTTTCCAAACCCAGCCTGGAATCCTTTGTTGGGGGTGAGATACTTCCCTCCTACCTCATTATTGTTGTTGCTAAAATTCTGAGAAGAGGAAGTGGATAAAAACCCAGTGTTCAGGTTCTGAGATGCAAATGGTGATGAACTAAAAGACGACATAACCGGCATGGATGGCGAGGGAGTCATTATGCCTGAAAGCCCTGAAGCTGGAAAAGACTGGGATGGAGACAACCCAGGGAAAGGACTTGAAGTGGGGAAAGGCTGTGATGTGGGAAACTGTTGATGTGAAACAAAAGAATTTCCCGGTGATGTTCCTGAAAGATTGGGAGACTGGCCCCAGGTGGTCTCAAGACCAAAGGAGCTTCCACCAAAGGAAGATGCATTGCCAGCCATTGAGGAAGTATTTCCAAAAGGAGTAAGGTTAGCCATGCTAAAGTTTGGCTGGGAGATTGAACTAGAAACCCCAAAACTTGGATTTGGAGGAGAAAAAACGTCGCCAACCTATAAATTAATGTTATATATCTGTAAAAGTATAAATCAAGTGTGGAGGCTGATAGCATAGCAAATAGCAAATGGTGTTGTAACAAAGGTTTAAACATGCAAAAGGGTTTAAAGAAAGCTGAGTAAGTGCAGTACATTGACATGCCATATTTATCAAAAAATATATATTTCAAGGATGCAAAATCTAGGGATAAAGACTTGAAATTCTTATTCTAGCATTTGAGGATTTTATCTCTTACCATAGGTTGATTTTGAAAATTGTTCCTGGCTCCCATAGGAGGTCCCCGCACAGGTGCACTCAAGGCAGGACTTTAAATAATAAAATTGTAAGAATAATCTTGCTTTTAAAAACTGAGATAAAAACTTGTGTTTCTTAAATCTGTTCTTTGTGTAATCTCTAAAAGTTTACGCTATGAATAATGATAAAGAGTTCTGTCGATATACCAACCAAGTGCTGCATAACAATAGTGAAGAATCTATGATTGGAAGAAGTGTCAAAATTTACTCTTATTTACGTTAGAAATTAAAACTATCTATCTATATAATTAAGCTCTTTGCTCATATACATACATTTATTTAAATTCAGCTAGTATACAATATGAAAACATGAAATAAAAAACACTTACTTTCCGCTTGCACCAAAATTAAGATTAGAAGCAAGATTTGCTAATGAAGCGTCCAGATCTCCAGTAATCACCTGCTGTAAGCAAACACATAGAAGACTGACGTCACCTTTTAAACTTTTAAGAGTTTTTATTCAATTTAATTCAATTCAAGAAGCTATTGAAGTCCCGTGGACTCCTTGATCTAACCAGGGTACGATCAGGATAGATCTAACGTCGGGTTTCACGATCAAGTTTGAGCCATGAATCCGGATTATACGAATAGGCTTTTCAACTTCTTCCATTATTGACAAAACTAAATAATATCAAATTTGTTACTTTTATTTTTCATTTTCATTTTCCAACTTATTTTGCGAACAAACTGAGATTAAGATGAATTAAAAAAATCTAGTTTCATTTTTTTCTTGTAAACTTTGTTTTCATAGACCCCCCCCCCCTCCAAGTAAAAGGAAGAGTTGTTTTGCAATGTCCACATTTTCCAGTCATATCTACTTCTTCCTATAATTAACTCCTTTTATCCATTATGCCATGTTTTTGTGACAGTACACTACTAAGAATCTAACACATTTTCCAGTCATATCTACTTCTTCCTATCATTAACTCCTTTTATCCATTATGCCATGGTTTTGTGACAGTACACTACTAAGAATCTAACACATTTTCCAGTCATATCTACTTCTTCCTATCATTAACTCCTTTTATCCATTATGCCATGTTTTTGTGACAGTACACTACTAAGAATCTAACGTGGAAGTTTCAGTGGTTTTAGTTTCAGTTCTTAATCTAGTTATGCCACTGCATATACTGGTTTACTAAAAACAATAAGTTTTTTGGATTTTAGATTTAAGGATTTTAATATGAACAAGCAAAATTCTTTGGATAAAGTTTCGGTAAACTTCAGTTAAAATCTAATTAATATAAGGTGATTTCTAAAGTAAAAAAGTTTTATATCATCAGAATTGAAATTCAAATGTGTTTGTTCCTTGGGTTTAGATTGATTGTTGGTGACAGCACCAGCAGGTTGTAGAATATCAGCGAATAGATCACTACCTGTCATACCGTTACCATTTCCTACATTTAGTAGATATAAAGTAGTAATATTTGTTTGTGTTTTGTTATTACGTCCGAGCACACTCTTTTACCGATTTCATTCCTTTGTTTTGGGAGCATAGTAGAACCACGGAAATGTTCTTAAATTGATTTAAAAGTTGAGGTAGGTAGACTTTAAAAAGGAAAACTTAGTTTCCAAGCAAAGCTGGCTTCCCGAGCTAATTAATTCGGAAAGTTCCAAACTTTCAAAACTGTATTCTTTAAAAGTTTGCTTTTATGAATGTTTGCAAAATGTTTACCCTTAGAGAAAATATATTATAAAAACTTACCAAAAACTATTAAATTTAAAATAATTGTTTTTGGTTAGTTCTTGCACGAATCTTATTGCAGGGGTAAAATTGGGAATGTGTAACAGAAATTTTCAAATCTATTCAAGTTTTTAAAAGATTATCAGATAATTGTGGAACATTTAAAAGTTTATTGTCTTTTTACCTGCAGGTGGTTGGCCGAAAATTTGTCTTTTTACCTGCAGGGGGTTGGCCGAAAATTTGTCTTTTTACCTGCAGGGAGTTGGCCGAAAATTTGTCTATTTACCTGCAGGGGGTTGGCGAAAGTTTTTCTATTTNGCCTGCATGGGGTTGGCGAAAGTTTGTCTATTTACCTGCAGGGGGTTGGCCGAAAATATTATTGAAGGAATTATCTGATGCAAAATTATTGGAACCAAAACCTGGAAACAAATTAATAAATAAATTAAATTTTAATTAATTTTCTCTCTTAAGATTAATCCTTAAATTAAAAAAAAAAAACAGGAAATTGGAATAAAAAATTAATTTAGACTGGTCTATTTATAATTTCTTTCTTTAATATTCTCAGATTTTTGCTTTTAAGTTTTTTTACTTGCAAAATCAAAATAAACCAATATATAAAATAAAAAGGAAATATTACAAAAGTAAACTGAATTGAACCCCCACGACTAATACAGGACAATTGGAAAAAGCCCAAAAAGCTAGAAAACATTCAACATAAAATATGCTTTAATGCGCACTGCAGTTATCACAATGTCGATTGTAAACGACCGATCAATCAGAACGAATGTTAAAAACAAATTTTGTCTAATGATGCAAGTCCTTCAATTTAAGTAAAAATTAGATGATAAACCTAAATTTTATTTAGTTTGCTTGGATGAACGCAAATATATCTTAAACTTTCTTTGGAAAACTGTGTCTTAAAACTATTTTATCTGAGATGAAAAACTTTAGAATTGTGGATTTTGAGATCAATCAGCTTGATCTCCTCTTTTTGTTAATCTCAGATATTCAGATTAAGCGATCAGGATTAAGTAAGGGTATCCAATTCTAAAGTTCCCAGTTCTGACAACAATAATTTAATAATGTGTAAGGTCACCTATGAAAAAATACACACATCATACATTTTTGTGAAATTTGAAACACAACTTATCCTATCTTAAAGATGTTCCCGAGGGAAAAAATTATTTAAACTTGAAAAATGTCTTCCAAAATATGCGGGTTTCTTGTTAATTTTTCAAAAAAAAACCAAAAATAACATCTGGGGGAAAAAATCAATTTCTAACGGAGGGAGGGAGGATCTTTTNTCTTTTTGTTGAAAAAATATACACCCCAGTAGTATTGATGAATCTGGCCCTCATGAAAATCTATGAGTAAGTATGGCCTAGATGTGTTTCTAATTAAAACAATGTGTATTTCAAACAAGTGAAATTTTTTTTAAAGATAATTCCGAGTTCAAACTAACCATGCACTAGCAGTCTATTGTCTATTCAATTTAAAAATAGGAATGACTTATCCCAACTGAAGTTGTTAAAATAAAAAGCTAGTTGTTAGAATAAAAAGCTGATTCCGAATTTAATAAATTTGAACCGCGTCTCAAATTTGCCAAAAAACGCTTTCAATTGAGCGCCGGCTTAAATTTTTAAACATTGAATACAATTTTGAGCCGCGTCTCAAATTGAAGCCGTGGTTCAAATTCTTAAAATTCGACTTATACCGTCATTATTAATTTTTTGCGATTAAGGAATTTTTTAAGTACTTCTATATCGTAATTCTTATTAAAGTTCATCTAGTGGGTTGCAGTAAAAAATCAAGTTAAATTTGTGTCTCTAGGACCAACCTTTTTCAACTCTCAACGGTTACAAGAAGAAGGAAGAATTACAAAACAAATCTTAATTAATTCCACTCAAATATTCGTTAGCAGTGGTTTTAGTAAAAATATTTAAAAATTGTTAATTTAATTTTTCTTATTTTGCGATTGAATATTCTGGAGGATTGCCTAAATACTACAGCTATAGATGATTGGATTAATTGATTGGATTAATCCTCTAATTGAACGGATTAAAGGTAGATTGAGAATTACCTGTAAAAGCCGAGGGGGTGCAATCAATAAAAATATTAGATAACAAAAACTAGATCAGGATTAACTTTCTTATGTTAAAAATCCGCATTAAAAAATCAGAAAAATTAATCTAGAACTAACGAGAGCGATATCCGAAAGCAAGGAATGCAAAGCTTGTTCTAAAGAATTAGAATAAGATACATTTAGTAGGATTAAAACTAGAATCCCTTCTGTAGGATTAAAACTACAATACCTTCTGTAGGATTAGAATAGGATACATTTAGTAGGATTAAAACTAGAATACCTTCTGTAGGATTAATACTAGAATAGCTTATGTAGGATTAAAATAGGATACATTTATTAGGATAAAAATTAGAAAACCTTCTGTAGGATTAATACTAGAATAGCATGTAGAATTAAAACTAGAACATCTTATGTAGAATTAAAATTTAATATTTTCTTTAGTATTAAAATTAGGATATCTTGTGTATGAATAAAATTGAAAGAAAAAAATATTTTTAGGGGGGGGGGCTGAAAATATGTATTACATACTAATAATAAAAAAGTAATTATAAATGATTACTCACCAGATCCATTAGTATTAAAGGGTGTAGAGGTGGGGGTGGGAAACACAGGTGCCCCACTTCCAGCAGCTAAATATTAGCAATATTAAAACAGGCTGCGGGATTATTATATTTTTTTTTACAAGTAATGTAAGTTTGGTAATTATTTTGTGTTTCCAGGATTAAGTTAAATAAATCCTTTTTGATATTAGGATTCAAAAATTGAAAACAAAGGCGACTAAAAATGTGTAACAAAAAGAACACAAAAAATGCTCTCATTAAAGGAAATATTCCAACTATTAAATTTATCTGTTTTCTTGTGGTTTCCTTAGATTTAAATCGAAATATAATTAAGCTTAGCAGATAAGTGCTTTCTTATACCAAGCCTCTGACCTCAAATTAAAATTTTACTATAAAAAAATTAGATTTGGGCAAGATTTCTTAATAGATTTCTAGATATTTTAGATATTAGATTTCTTCTTATTATTATTTATATCATGTTTGAATTATCTCCATTTTACTAAATTAGAATTAAGACATTGCCCTTACCGTTTAACATATTAGCGAAGGGATTTCCCTGAAGCTGCAGTAGATCGTCAGCAGCTGTTGTTGGAAAAGCTGGACTCTTAGCAGGAGCAGCTGATGATGGAGCTGATACACCTGCAGCATATTGTTGTTAACATAAATTCGAAAATATAAGGAAGACGATTTTACCGACCCAAAATGCCTCTGTTAATTCTCTAAATGCGTGTGTACACAGGAACCACGAAATGAAGCAAGCACGCCCCACATGTCAAATCCCCGCTCACCCTAGCTCCCACTTCACCCCAGCGTCAGTTAGCTTTAGAATGTCGAGATGCGAACACCTCTAATATGGAACTACTTTNGATAAACACTCTCTGCAAATATTTCAAAACAAATTTTATTTTTCTTAAATAAATGTTATAGAATATTTGGGTTTTTCCTGATTTCTTTATTTGTATATTTTCTGACCTTTTTAAAGGTCAACAATTGTATATTTGAGATAAACTTCGTATTAAATATTTCCCGCATTACCCTTGATTTAAGCAAACAAATACATTATACATACAAATACATCGTCGTCTCATTTCTTTCTTTCAATGCTTGATCTCGATTTTTTGTTAATCTGCAGATTAATTTAATCTTTATTCGGTATCCCGCATGGAAATCGTACCCAGTCACGGGGATTAAAGGGAGATTTGATTAGGGAAAGAAGGAATAACTGAGATGAAGAGATTAAGCATTTATAATGCTCGAACTAACAGTACCCACAGTCGATATCAAGATCAAGCGATTGGGATTATGTGATTCCTAATCTTATATTCCCAGCTCAGGGAATATTTATAGATTTAACAGTCAAAAACCAAGATTTAATTTTTTGTTATTATATTTTAAGAAAAACAAAAATGGCCATCTTTGCATCAGCTGATTACCGAAAAGATCTAGAATGTTCGGGGTTTCCTCGGCCTGCTCAGCTTCAGCTGTCACTGCAAACGGATTGCTAGCGCTGGCAGAACTACGGAACTTCTCCATAGCAGCAGCCTATGCAATCAATCAATAAATCAGTATCAAATCAATTAATCAAGATTACCAATCAATTAAATTCAATCAATCAAAAGAATAATTTTTGTTTTGAAATAACATGACTAAAAACAAATAAAAAAAGCAAGAAAACGCAAGAAATTTACTGAATTATTTATAAACAACATTTGACTTTTTTAAGGGGGTGGGGGGGAGAACTTTCCGTAACAATTTATTATTATTAAACATCCCCCCCCCCCCCCCCCCGAAAAAAAATAATTAAAAAAATAAAGTAAAATATATTACCTCCTCCTGTAAAAGTTTCTCTGCTGTCCTATCGTCTATACCACCATTGTTAGCGGCAGAACCAAACGCACTTAAAAAATATATTGCCTGGCGATTCATTGAATTTGAAGGGTGTCCTTGATCATATCTTTTCAAATTGGGAAGGGGGGGGGGGGCGCTGAGAATTCAGAATACAACTTCTAGAACGTAGTTTTAACATATAACCATAATATTACTTTACTCGATCTTGATTCAATTCTTACAAAGAAACGGACAGAGACCGATTTTAAAGAATTTAAACCGTGTCGCTGGACAGCAGAAAACCGGTCCCTACTAAGTGCCGGCTCAAATCTCGAAACACTGAATACAATTTAAAGTGGATCCAACCATGCTTGAGCTGCATCTTAAATTTGAGATGCGGCTCTTTAAATTCGGCCTCGGGTATTTTTTCGGAATGGGGGCTTGGTAAAATTGAATTAATATTTCACAAAAAAAATTTAAGATGTTTGAATGGTGTCTGTAAGTAAGTCCGAAAACAAATATGTTATATATAAAAACGAAAATATTCCCTAAAGAATTAAAATATTTAAAAAAAAACACGATAAATAAAAAATAAATAAATAAATTACTTTGAGGTGGAAGCTAAAGCATTCACTGCAGCTGCTACGTTCACTCTAATAAGCAAAACAAAAATAATAAAACAAAAAAGAAAAAACAAAGTTAGCTATAAAATAATGTACCTAAAAAAAACAAAACAAATTATAAAAATAATAAAAAAACAAATAAAATTACAAAATGTCATGCTTGTCACTAAATAACAAATCATAAAATGAACAATGAATTCCCCCCCCCCCATTTATTTGTACTAACCTAGCTGCTCCTGTTGGGGTGGTGCCCCCGGATCCAGGTTTTCGCCCCTCTAGGTTCGCCAAGTGAGCCTCGAGTGCATCCAATAAACTACTCGGAGCCTACACACAATTTAATATTAAAGGGACTGTGAGCGTAATTTTAATTGGCATTCCATATAAAGAGGGACATGCCTGATTCACAATGGTATCCTTCAGAGGAGTAGTCAGGGGGAATATTGTTGTTTTTATAAGTGTTTGATTCTGTTTATTTCTCCACAGTGTTCCTGCATAAGAAATGCAAATTGCACAAGTCACTTTTGTAGGGAAACCAAAATAAAAAATAATCAGTTTTAAAAATTATAAACATGGATGTATACAAAGCTTTTAGGTTTACCATCGTAAATCGGTATTGCCTTTTAAACATGGAAGGTCTCTTGAAATGATTTCCATTACCCCAAGGTTATAATGCAAGGAAAGTACGCAGTGAACTGTCTCTGGGCGGTAATGTAAACACGAGACGGATGTCACAGCCTGACATGGGATCCATCTTTCACATAAAAAAATATTCTGGTCATAGGAAACCATTATGTGAATTATCAAAATTATTAAAATTTAATGCTTTTAACCTCCTCGGATACTAAACGAACACTGATGCATCTATTCTTGTTTACAAATTACGCCCAGAGAGAACTGGTTTCAATATGTACGCAGAGTATACGTAACTGCAATTAACTTTCCTTGCATTATAGCCTTGCATTACCCAACACAGAGCATTTAGGGGCCTAACCATGAGTGGCAAAAAAACAAAAGACGTTTGAATACAATATCAATATTTAGATATTGAATTTGTTAAAGCCTACAAAAATTACACGGACATACAATGTCTAACAGATAAATGATAAAAGTGCAATAGGACGAATACAAAGAATAAATTAAACCGAAGTACCAGTGCTATGGACCCATTTAGTTTTGATGCGGATGCGGATCCGGATCCTGGATCCGCACTGGAAAAAAATTGATCCGGATCCAGGTCATTTCTTTACGATTTATTGAATTTCTATTCAGAATTTTCAATTTTTTTGTTTTAATTCTATGCTAAAATTTGATGAACCATTCAGAAATCAGGAAATTTTTATAATCTCTCCTTTTTTAATAGTTCAGTTTCGGGTTAAGAAAGTAAAAAAAGTTTTTTTTTTTGCAGCTTTTGGTTTATATCCGGATCCTCAGCACTGCGAAATATTAAATTATAAAAACGAAAATAAAGATACTAACTATTTCTAATTAATTATTGAATAAATAAAAAATGTACGAAATATTTTAACTACTATTTGTAGATACAAATCAATCAATATTAATTCACTGCAATATAGTGTTTTGCAAAGTTTATTCCCTACAATTTCTTTCAGGGTAAAAATTTGGCAAAGTGTGAAAAGAAATTATTTATTCTTAACAGTTGCTTTGCTCAAACTCTATGTCAAATATGCAGCAACAAAAAAATTAGGGATTCATTTTTTTCAAAATAAAGTTAAGTTTTTTTCAATTTTTTTTTCTTGCAGGAATTGTCCTAAATCAAGTAAATATATACCTTTTCTCTTTTTTTGATAAAGGTTTCCAGGAACACTTACCAATTGTATATTTACTAATAAACTGTAACTCAATACAACATTAACAGTTTGCCTCGTTAAATAAATAAAGAAAAAAAAACCTTGGCAAGGTCGGGTATGTCTCCCTTATCTATTCCTACATTCTAAAAAAGAATAAAAATAAAATAAATATTAAAGCATGCAGGGTGNTTTTATTTAAGACGACTGAGTTCTTAATCCGTGAATAAATGCCTAATCACATTATCTACCATTGACTGAGAGCAGACTTTTTGGATTTGTTTAACTTCTAACTTGAGAGTTCATAAAGTACTTAACTTAATCCGTTGGGTTACAAAATATACGGATTAGTGCTTTCAATTCAAAAGGTGCAACTTCCGGCTAATACCTGATAAGATCTCTGAAGAGGAGCATAAAACAAGCGTTGATTACTCCGTTGTTCAAATCCTAAATATCAATTGTTTAAGACAAGATTAGGAGTTATAGTGAGCTCAACGAGGGAGGGGAAGCACTGGTGCAGGGCTGCCATGACCGTGGCAAAATGACCTTCGGAGTCTCCAGATAAGCAGAATGACCAGCCTCGCGAAACCGTCTCCGCACCTCTTACTACGTCTCCAAGCCTCCATCATTCCATCTCCATGCCCTGTTTGGAGGTCATTCTACATATCAGGAGGCTCCAGAGGTTATTTCGCAGGGCTCATGGCGGCTCTGCATCCCATCCCTCGCTCAACCCAGTGCAATTCAAGCTTGAATAACTCTGAGAAGAAAAATCAAGTATTAAAAATCTAGACCAATACTGATGCCGACAATACGCAATTCCAGAGTTGGAAATCATTTAAAAGAGTTTAAAAACTAGAGATGCATGAAAATATATTAGTTTAAAAACTAGAGATGCATGAAAATATATTAGTTTAAAAACTAGAGATGCATGAAAATATATTAGTTTAAAAACTAGAGATGCATGAAAATATATTAGTTTAAAAACTAGAGATGCATGAAAATATATTAGTTTAAAAACTAGAGATGCATGAAAATATATTAGTTTAAAAACTAGAGATGCATGAAAATATATTAGTTTAAAAACTAGAGATGCATGAAAATATATTAGTTTAAAAACTAGAGATGCATGAAAATATATTAGTTTAAAAACTAGAGATGCATGAAAATATATTAGTTTAAAAACTAGAGATGCATGAAAATATATTAGTTTAAAAACTAGAGATGCATGAAAATATATTAGTTTAAAAACTAGAGATGCATGAAAATATATTAGTTTAAAAACTAGAGATGCATGAAAATATATTAGTTTAAAAACTAGAGATGCATGAAAATATATTAGTTTAAAAACTAGAGATGCATGAAAATATATTAGTTTAAAAACTAGAGATGCATGAAAATATATTAGTTTAAAAACTAGAGATGCATGAAAATATATTAGTTTAAAAACTAGAGATGCATGAAAATATATTAGTTTAAAAACTAGAGATGCATGAAAATATATTAGTTTAAAAACTAGAGATGCATGAAAATATATTAGTTTAAAAACTAGAGATGCATGAAAATATATTAGTTTAAAAACTAGAGATNCGCAAAAACTTGATTTAAATTTGTAGTTGTCACAGTGATAAGTTTCCATCATAAAAAAACCTACGCAATATATTTGTTTATTTCTATCCACGCACCACCAGTCCGCCACCTGGTTTTTTAAAATTTAAATTGACCTTAAAACACAACTGTGTCATAAAATAGGAATTTACAGCTAGCAGAAAAAAGTTAAATATAAGATTCGTATGCTAAGATTTTTAATGTTCACCTTACACAACAATGGAACCCACAAAACAATGGACTAGGAAGACGACATGTATGCATTCTTGATGCTATATTGCAAAAAATTGTTCATGAAAATCAACTTATCAAGTGAGACGATTCATAGCTTAATCTATAAGTCAGCTTCCTATTCCGCAGTTTTATGGGTCTTATTGTAATCATAGTTGCCCCCTGCCCCAAACAAAATCAAAACCGCTGTTCTTAAATTTAAGATTTTTCTTCAAAAAAATGCCAAAAATTTAGAACAAAATAAACAACATTTTCCAAAATTAAGATTTTTAGAAAAATTTAAGATTGGAAAAAAATGAAAAATTTAGAAATGAAAAATTCTCTTTTTTTTTGTCAAAAATATTTACTTCTTCATACAAATAAACATAATAGATATTAGTATAGTATGAAAGGCTTAAAAAAGAAAAATGTTATAAAATCATCATCTTTCATTTAATATGTTCTCACACGTCCCAAGTATGATTGTTTGATGCAGATTCCTGTTTGTCAAATAGTTTCATGCAGATTTCATCCTTTTCATTCTTTTTATCCAAAAATGTTTTATTTTCCCCTAAAAATCATCTTTTTTCCCAATTCAGTTTATAAAACTCTAAAAAAAACATACACAACTTCTTGGGAAAACAAATGATTTTCAAAAAGGGCCGGGGGGGATTGATTTATCAGAAAAATACACCCCTGAACGAATTAATATTATATAATTTTAAATGATATGTACATAATAATGATATCTTTAAACAATTTCGCAGGAATATATTGATCATCTTAGCCCTCAGAGAATGGTAAAATTCGATACTGTTCCTAACTCGAAATTGGGGTATAAAGTTTTTTCTTGAATAAGTACACGATCCCTTTGAAACATAAAATAATGATTTAAACCTACCCTCTCTTAACTTTACAGAAGTCGAATGCTACATTCCTGTAGCTAACCGACTTCTCGCTCATATACTTGGCGTACCGCCGGATAAACGGGGACATATCATATCCTGAACAAATAAATAAATTGATTATCAAACGTCCACTATCGTCCGATTCACAAAGGTACCCGTAAATGCTTTGTCAGATCAAGAATGAGTTAACTATCCAACATCCATGTCCTTCTTTTTTAAATTTTAATATTTCAAAGGTGCGTTATGAAAGGAACTTGCGGATTTCTACAAATAGAAAAAAATGGAGTTTAACACAAGCTATAAAAACGACTAAAAATTATACAAAATATTGATGTGATGATGGTTTAAAGGGACCATTTTGAATCGGTCTTGTCTTGTTTTTAATTAAGGGTCAATCCCTTCAATAAGTATTTATATAGAAAATTCCATATAGGGATATGAAGTACCTCATTTCTCATTCAGAGTTATCTTAAACTTTTGGTATTACTACCAATCTTTTACAACTTTCCCCTCTTATCCCTATTCAACAGAATTTAGTTTCATATAATTCCTGCAGGGAGGGGGAAGGTTACTTTTTGCTAAAAATCAAATAAAAAAATTTTTCCCTTCAAAATCAACACCTTACTGCATTTTAACTTTTGAAGAAATGCTATGCAAGAAAAAAAAACACTTTAAAAATGTTCACCAAACTGGTACAAAAATAATGATTAAAGTTGTGGATCTAATTTTCCTTGTCTTAAAAGAAAAATCTAAGGGTAAGGTTAATAATAAAATTATTTTAAAACAAATAAAAAACAAATAAAATTCAAACGCAACCCTAAAAATCTGTGAAATTAAAAATGTGTGCATTAACAACATGAAAACACTTGTTCCACAAATACTAACTGTAAAATGAATAATGCTAAGAACTAAAATTCTTAGGAACAAACTTTTAAAAACCAGCTGACTTTTTGTAACTTTACTGGAGCCAATTATCTCAATTATTTAATTTTTTTCTCAGAAAAATATAGACCGATAACAACAAGGTGTCAAAAAAAGTAGTCATAAAACAAGTATAAAATACTCACCCCTAAGTGGTCCTGCATGAAAAAGATGGAAATATTAATAACTTTCATAAAAGTAAAAAAACTCTTTCATTTTTAACATTTTATGCAAATGAAAAAGCTTTGATCTAACACTTAGTGCTACAATCGTTCCAAACCAAACCAAACCAAACCAAACCAAACCAAACCAAACCAAAAGTTTGGTTGACTACCTACAATCCTGTTTCTTTCCGCAGTTTGTTTATGGTTTGGTTCAAGGTATACAGCCTGAGCTATTACATTTTGCAGCAGATCAGTCACTGTAATAAATGTATTGAAAAAAGAACCATCCGACACTGTAATACATTTACTGAAGAAAAAAAACCATCCGAATTTGTAATACATATATTTTATATTAGGTGGGGATAAAACCCAAAACAGCAAATAGCTAATCTCCACCTAATTGCTACATGATTGCATAAATATAGTAAACAATATAAATTTAGTTGCAGATTTTTTGCTTGTAACATTATAACTTGTATGTGTATTTTTAGCAATAAACTATATTTTGTCTTATCATTGCCTTATATGTTAACATGCTTTATTGGCTCATATGATAATGTTATTTTGTCCTCTTTCAAATTGCCTACTACATATATTAACATGTCTCCTTTATTTCATATAATGTACTCCAGCTTACCATATACTCCTTCATTTCATATAATGTACTTCAGCTTACCATATACTCCTTTATCGCCTGTCATGTACTCCTTCTTACCTTGTACTCCTCCCTTGTCTAAAAAGCTATTGAGCTGAAAGTTACTGTTACTTGAAGCAAGGTACTGTGTAAACCTCTGAAAATAAACAAATATCATAGAACTGGCAAGATACAGGGATCAGCAAAATTTAATGGAACATGACAAAAAAAGTGTTACGGGTTAGCCCAGTGCTTCGGATCCGCATCCACAAAAAATTGTGAATCCGCGGATCCTGATCCACGGGTCCTTAACGAACCATAGCCAAATAAAAATCAACTTTTTGGGTCTTAAAAAACAAATCTCAAATGTAAACTTATGAGCTAATATTACAAATTTTATAATCTCTGAATGGTTAATCGAGCTTAAGCATAAAATAAAGCAAAAACGGCTATACAAATTAGAAAAAAATAATTTTATTTCTTTAAAAATCAAGAATTATTCATGACCTGGGTCCAGATTCATTTTTTAGGGCGGATCCGCATCAAAGTGAAACGGATCCTACACAAAAAAAATCCTAACCTCGTTCCCATAGCACATAAGATGGTGCGTTGTGATGAGACCTTTGAAGACGACAACCCAGTGCGGATTCTGTGTTCTCTCGATGAGAAGGTTTGCCAGGGTAGGGATAGAGACGTTAGGCTCATTTGTACAGTGCAGTAGGTCTTAATTATAGAATTGAAAGAGATTATTTTTAAAAAAGAAGGAAAACCGACGATGTCTTCCTCATTGTTAAAGGGCAAGTTTGTAAGTCAGTCAAATAATTCTTAAATTTGATGGTCATTTATAATCCGTTGACATTCAAGTAAATAGTACTGAAATGTATCATTATCATTGTTAGACTTAAAATCATAAAAAGTCACAAAAAGTTTGCTTTTACTTTCATATATTATACTACACTAAAATGAATATTTAGGTCTAATTTGTTATTTTACAAAAATAATCTATTTAAAACTATTCCTCGAGTAGATAAAAGAAAATCATGAAATTAGCTGACTAGTAAAAAAATTTGTAAACGTAATTTTTTCTTAGAATTTTAGTATGATTTATATTAGTAATTTAGATTAACTTGATACTTACAATCCAAATGTTTTTTCTTAGGCCCGATAATCTCCTCTGTAGTTGCTTTACAGACTGCTTTAGCCAAGCCTTGACCAGCGATACTGTGCCGAGCGGCCAATATCCTTAAAATAGTAAATAGTGACATGATGGCTGAAGTAATTTTCATGGTTTGATACTTCAGTCCCCTCTTAATTGACTAAGAAACTAGTCAATAATTTGTTTTTATATCCCCCCCCCCTCCTGCATTTCTTTCAAATAGAAAACCCGAAACTTTTAAGTAGTGCAGCTAATATAGTTTAAAATTTTAATTTAAGCTCAGAAAAATTCGACATAAACCAATTGATCTAGATTTGAGCATCCATAATAAAAATCAACATCATTCGGTAACTTCCTGGATCGAGAACGATTTTTGGGTATATTTCTAGAGAACCATTTTTGGACCCCCCCCCTCCTATCAATTTTGTACATGGATCTAACAGAAAGTGTCGTTAACTTAACCTAACCCGTGGCTGCAGCGCTCGGCCCCCTAGCCTATCCTAGACGCAGCGCTCGGTCCAGAAAGTGTCTTAACTAACCTAACCCGTGGCTGCAGCGCTCGGCCCCCTAGCCTGTCAAATCGACAAATATGTAAGCTTTGGTGACAAATTGACGGATTATAGTATTTTAGTGTTTACTACAAATCAGGTGACTGCTGATTCAGTTGGCAATAGCAGCAGCTCTCTACTAGATTGTATTGATTAGTAGCTTGAGCCAGGCATGCGCAAACTCCCGAGAAATGCCGCGTTGTGCGTGAAGAAAATCACCTGTGAACAAAGAAAAGACGACATTTAAGTGAAAAGAAGTATATTACTAACAATTTAGAAAGGTGCCATATTATCCGGACTAGCCTTAACGATGATATATATTTACAGACGGGTATACTTCGGGGAGGGATTTAGAAATCCTAATAACGGAGAAAATATAACACTATTTTAACACCTGTTTCATGGTTCTAGCTTGAGTTGCTTAATTGATTTAAAAGTGTACAGTTAATACACAAACTTTTTTTGCTCAAAGGACACAATCATAGAATTCAGAAACCAATTTTGAAATTAAATATTTTTCTCCTTAATTTAGAAATTTAGAATATTTAAATTTAAATGTTGTATTCACCCCTGTCCTAACATTCATGTCTGTTCTAGTTGAAAATATCACCGCTAGGCTGTGCTAGTTTCTACAGTCTAAACACAGTTAAACTTCGCTCACAACAATTTGCCTTGCTACACTTATTCTCTATTTTAAACTCTTACTAATTATTAACGAAACAGAAGTGGTTTTATAATTATGTTTAAAAAATAAATTTAATGCGAATTATTTAATTTTAATGTGTTATATATTAATTGGTTATATAAACTGCATTGAATTAATATGTATGCTCTTTAGTTCAGTATTTAAAATACACTTTTTTGAATGTTCAATGTTCATTCACTCCGGTACAGTACTTGAGCGTTAATGTCAGCATTGCATTATCTTGAGACTTTTTGTCGACTATTTAGGAAATGCGATTTTGTGTTCTTCACATTTTCGACGCCCGGAAGTATGTCTACACAGGGGGGGCAGGGGGACATTCGGCCCCCCTGAATTTGGAATTTTTTTTTCCAATTACTGAATAGCTTCGTAATAGCATGCTTAAGGGAAAGAAACCTAGTGCAAAACAGGAAAAATATCTGTCTTAATAAACTATAATGTGTGAAAAGTTAAAAATCTAGTTTTTTAGTCTTCAGTCATTAATGTTGACTCTTTTTGAGTCTTTCAAGTCAAAAAAATTTCGCATGCGGCGCGAATTTTTGTTCCTAATTATGAATTTTTTGGTTCCTAAAAAAACTTCCCCCCCCCCCCCTCACTTAAATCCTGTATCCGCCCCTGTTTAAACAAATGATAAGTCTGATATAAATTAATATATTTTATTATTGTTTCACTGCAAGCGCGATCAATCGAGTCAATTGACCGCTGCAGCGCTCGGCCTAGAAATATCGTTCTTCAGGATATTACCATCGACTGTTGAGTGTCGAAGGCTTAGAATTGGGTCATTTTGTATTATTTCACAAATTTTCACCTGCGCGGACAATTTTCAGATCAATTTGTGATTGTCGATCTCGATCCAATGTATACGCCCCAGATTGTCGATCTCGATCGAATGTATACGCCCCAGATTGTCGATCTCGATCCAATGTATACGCCCCAGATTGTCGATCTCGATCCAATGTATACGCCCCAGATTTTCACTAAAAAATATTTAAGACCAGAAAATAATCCTAATATATCTGAATTTTTTTCTGTTTTTTAGTTTCCTTGGAAATGCTCAGAGCTGCAGTGTCCGAAAATGCCGAAAAGACGAAAATCTTCAACTGTACCGACAACTATGTCCCCAAAAGCAGCAAGGCAGACTATTTCAGGTACAAGGGTATAAACTTGACTGAAAAATATTATCTACAGACAAGTTTTTCATTCTATTTGTACTTATTTATACTTTTATGATATGCTTTTCGATACTTATTGATATACTTTTGATACTTTTTACCAAAAATATCAATTATTTTCCCCACAATTCAGCGAATAGAATTCTTAATATTTTTTAGTATTTATGCCCCTGTTCAGTATTCAGATGTCAGTGTACAGTTCCTGAATATCGATAAATCTCATCTATTTTAAGTGTGTTATTTAAGTACCCCCCATTCCCCCTTTCTGCTGAAAATGCTAAAATTGGGAGTAAAAAGTATTATGGAAAAATATTGAGTATCAATAAGAAAATGTATACACCTGTTATTGAGAGGGGGAAATTCTAGAAAATATATACCCCTGTTTTTTAGGAGAGATACACTAATGTAAACTTAAATTTGAATTGTTTTATTTTAGAATTGTTTGGTGATTCACATCAGTATTCACATAAAAAGTTCTCTGCAAAGAATAATGCCGTTCATACAGAAAAGAGCAGGTCGGATCTTGATTACTTTGTAGATCGTTTATGAACTCTGATTTTCTAATAACTATTTCTATCTATGTAACTCAATGTCGTTGACCTTATTTATTTCAAACTATAATTTCTGCTAAATCAAATAATTTAATTTTGAAATATCAAAGGTTTTCATCATAAAGTTGCAAAGATATAAGAATTATAAACTTTGAGTTTGTGGTGAAGACTCAATTTCTTTACTTATGTAAAACTGTCAAAACTATTTAAAAAATTGTCATCTTTTACAAACTTTGATCCCCTATTTTCGTTTTTTTTTTCAAGAGTCAAATGCTTCTCCCGGCCCTTGTAAAAATATTTATGAAAATCTTTCTGAAAATATTGTTTTGAGTAAAAAGATTATTTAAAATTTATATTTACAGAGGCAAAAAAATGTTTCTTGATCTTATTGGGAATTAAAATGTCTGCCCTTGAATTAACCCCTGGTTCTTTTTCTGTTTTTTTTGTTCCATCATTCAATCATTCATTCATTCATTCATTCATTCATTTATTGCAAAAATTTGAAAGTCTTGATCTATCCTTAGTGAGAGAACGGTTGATGACACTGAAGTGAATGCTAATCATAATGAGATTCTAAAAAATGCGGAACATGAAAACGAAAAAACGAATAATGGAAAAAAAGAAGAAGTACGCAAGATTAACTTGCAGAAATCTAATGATGCCAAGGAACATGCTGTTAAACTAGTCGAAGATTTTCTTACCAATCCCTCAATTCAGGAATACATGCTTAACTTTCATCAGATTAGTTAAAAAACAAGTGTAATTTATTTGGTAATTTTTAAGAAAAAATGTTAAACCCTCCTTAAAACTTGAAAGCTTAAGTCTGAATTTGTTCAGATCGAAGACATTGGTTCTCCAACTAGTCCTCTTAACCTAACATGCAAACCTGCAGACCAAGTCCCAAAACCGACAACTAAACCCACCAAGCCTCCCATGCTGTTTATTAGTCCACGGCGAATTGATCTTTCATCAGGAACTAATCCCATGCTCAATTCTCTTTTGACCGCAAACCAAACAACTGCTAATCCTTCTGTAAAAACATCCTCCCAGACTGTTAGTTCGATGAGAAATGTGTCACTAGCAGTTTCTGAACATAGTTCTTGCTCAAATCTGAACCCCTTACCTACTTCAGGACAAATGGGTCTTAAGATAAGGCCCCTTGCACCTAAGCAATTAGTTATTAGGCCTTCCATCTTCATTCCACAAGATGGTAATAGTAGACCTTTGCAAGAAATGGGACGCCACAGATTCACTAGTGAAATGTTTATTGTCAACCCATCATTGGGTCAGGGTGCAATCCATCATAATAAGCAGTTGGCTTCTAAAGATCAAGTAAGCATTCTACCAGTGTCTTCCCAAACTCCACAGATAAGAATGGGAAACCTAACACCAGAGGTTGAAATTTTTACTAAACCCCGCCCAGTTACTGTTTTGATGCCACCTCAATCAAATTCTATCCAGACGTCCGTTGCAGCCAATGTAAGATATAGAAAGATTATGCCAATGGCACGGTCTGGGTCTCTAGGTTTTGTAAGTGTTCGGCCCATGGCATATCTTCAGACAGACATGCAAAACATAATGCAAAATCCCCCTGCTAGAATGGAAATACCTCCTGCTAGAATGAAAATACCTCCTGCTAGAATGGAAATACCTCCTGCTAGAATGGAAATTCCACCTGCCAGAATGGTAATTCCCCCTGCTAGAATGGAAATTCCACCTGCCAGAATGGAAACTTCCCCTGCTAGAATGGCAAGTTCACCTCCAAGAATAGGAATGCCACCATTGAGAATGGGAAATTCGTCTGTTAAAATTGGAGTACCCCCTGCTAGGATGGGAAACCCCTCTGGCCGAATGGGAATTCCTTCTATCAGATTAGGAAATCCCCCTGCCAGAATGGGAGAGCCTTTCCTTCCTACTGTTCAGGTCACAGGACCAAAACTATTCCCTAAACCTTCAGGTTCTAGCCAGAATTTAACAATCCGACAAATAGCACCAGCTCCAAACCAATGGCAGTTTCCTCCAAGGCCAACAGTTAGTTCCACAAGCATCTTTTCTACAACAGCATCATATAGGGACAAAGTCCAAGCTTTTTCTCGTCAAAACATTCAATTACCTCAGCACTCTGTTCCACAGGATTTCCTAAGACATCCAAATAGTGGCAACATTTGCCCTTCTTCTAATGTCATAAATATCCCTTCCAGTTGTACATCTTTCCCTACTTTCACTACTTCACAACAGTCCTTGAGCACTGCTGCCCTGAGAATTCCAAACGGCGAAGGACTTGCTTCACATATTACAAATTTGCAACCAAGCCAACAAGCTCTATATGCAGTAACGTCTCACCTGCAATCCAAACAAAATTCTCAATTCTTAGTTCTTAATCAGTCTAACGCTAAGGGAACACTTCAAGTGTTTCAGTCTCCGTCTCATCCTACAGGACAAAACCAGGGCTCCACTCAACAAATACTGTCTGCACCATCATTCAGCACCGGTAATCAATCAATTGACCCAACAAAAAACTTCTTGTCTAAAATTTGTCGGGTGTCAACTGTTCAAAATAAAGATTCAGAAAATGGGATAAAACCAACAAACGAAGACAACAACAACCTATCAACTAGCAGGTCATTGCTCATTAAAATAAATGCAAGACAAGAAAAAACCAGCTTTAAACAATATTTTCTTTTAGGAAACTGAAGAAAACTAGAAAACCAAAAACACGTAAAGGAAAAAAAGGGACTAAACAAGTTTCTTTGAGCATAACGTCTTTTCGCAGTTTAAAAACTTATTCCAACAAAAAAAGGTCTTTCATCAACACCGGCCAGACACTCACCAAACCTGATGAAGGTATTCATACAGAATTTAGAATTAAACTTTTTAACAACTTTTTTGAATTAAAGCAAAAACGATGTGTTTAAGTTTATTTGGTCCTGTGTCGAGTATTCTAATTATAATTATAATAATAGTGTGATATTTGGTGCTTTTATCGTTCTTTATTTCAATTAAACAATTTCTGTGGGGGAGGGAGGGGAATGATTTTTCAAGAAAATCTTATAAAAATCTTACTGAACAAATATCTCTATATCTCTTTTTAATCTAGTTGTTTAACCATAAATAAATATGTTTTTGATAAGATAAACACGGTAATGAAAATTTGAAAATATCTCTCAGTTCATTTTCTTTATCATATTTTAGTTTTGAGTCAAAGTCCTGTATTTCTATCCCCCCCCCCCCCCCCCCCCAATTATCTAAGATGTAAGATTTTTATAAGGTTTAAAATTTATCTTTCTGGGAAAAAATATTTCAGAAAAGAATTTTCTATTCAATTTTTCATAACATCTTGCATTTAAGTCAAAGTTCTTTGTTCAAAAAGGAAAATTATAATTGACTATTATGATTTATTTTAGGAAAATGGCGGTTCGATTCTGACGCCTCAGGAGTATCTGTAGGAACTCCCTTCCAACCGGAAGTCCGGATGGCAAGCTCTCTTCACAAAACAATCATTAACTCTCTTTTCTTCCGTGGCGCTACAGGAGAGTTCAACTGTCGTAAATTAAACACATTTACACTTTTGGGATTAAAGAGACTGTAATCGTAATTTCAAGTAACCCTTCTCCATGCAAAGATGGCAATGCCCGTCTTTGTATGGAGGGGTTGCGCAAATTATACCTTGGAAGAACATTAGACATTTTATTTTCATTATATACTAAACCTTTTGGAGAAAGAAAGTTTGGGCTTAAATCTTTTTTACTTCTCTTTGATACTTTTTATCCAAAGAATTTGTTTAAAAGACTGGAACAATTTCTACAAATATATAGTTCTAGCTCATTATTAGGTAAGTTGATTTTATAGCTATTGCTAAAAAAATGAAAATGAAAGTTATAATTTCCTAGTATTTTTTGTCTCTCAAAAATAATATATTTTTAAAACCCTGAAATTTGCCAACACATGTCGGGGAAAACATGTCGAGTAAGGCAATAAACTTTAATGAAAAAGTGTAATTACTTATATTTTTTTCTTTTTTCTCAAAATACAGTTTTAATAAACCAATTTACAGATAGAAGACTAAATATTCGTTTGTTGAACTCCTGAACTATAGGCGTGAAAAAACAAGATCATGAGGCTGCCGAGGACATCGACCAAAATGACCCCGTAGAGAACAATACGACCCTGACCTCCAGCGATGGTTTGACCTCGGTAGAGGCTGTTGATGATCCTTCCCCGGGCATTAATGCAACCGTAGGGTAAAATAGAAAGATAAATAAATAAATGAATTAAAAATTTAAAAATAATATTTAAATTTAAAAAAAAAATGTCAAGCAAATGTTTAGGATCATTTTAAAATTGGACTTTTTTTTAAGATTATGATTTTTTTTCTCCAATCTGAAAAAAACGAAATTTGAAAGAATAAAATATGTGACTAATCTAATGGCTTTTGGAAATCTGTTGAAAAGATTGTTTTTGTTTTTTAGATAATTCTGTATTGGATAGGAATATAGGAATAAATCGAAAAATTAAAGGAGATTAATTGATTTAAAAGTTTGAATATTAGGACTTTTATTACTTTAAAATACAAATATATATTTTGTATTGGATAGAATAGGTATTGGAATAAATTAACAAATTAAAGGAGATTGATTGATTTAAAAGTTTTGATATTAAGAGTTTTAATAGGATTACTTTAAAATACAAATATATATTTTGTATTGGATAGAATTGGTAATTACATAATTTCTGAGTCCAAATTTAATGATTTTGAGCCGCGTCTTATGTCCGCCAAAAACCGGTTTCAATTGAGCGCCGGCTTAAATTTTGGAACATTAATTAACATAATAAAATACAATTGGAACCAACCATATTTGAGCCGCGGCTCAAATTCTTTAAATTCGGCCACAGATATACTGTTAAATTATCAATATTCATTTAACAAGTTAGCCGCCACATATTTACTTCGTTTTACCCGCAAAAATAAAGAAAATTAATTTGTAATACAATTAAATCTATTTCAGGAAGAGGTATAGGTGTACTTGGTGTACGGGGTATTATCAAACATTGGCTCTCATAAAGGAAAATAAAACATTGAAAAAGAAAACATTTTTCTGGTTTATTGCGAAGTTTAGAATTCTGTGTTTCTACCAAATTCAATTATAGAAAACATTGTCCAGTTTTTAGTTAAAGCACATCAGATTTGAACAGTAAATTTTTCTCTCGAAAAACAGATGTATGTTTTTTTTAATGCATTCACATCTCTATTTTTCTGAAACCGTTAATCAGCAATTAAAACAATAACAATTATTTAATAGTTAACAATAGGCTTTTGAGATGCTCTGTGTTCCTCCCGTATCTGCCGGACTTGGAGTCCGGAGAGATGTGTGAGGATTAGAGGAGTTTTATTCCAAATGGCTATTATTAACCAACATAAAAAAGAATTTCGCAGATTTTTACGATTTCTTTAATAGATTTCTTAAAAAAAACTTAAAGGCACAATTTTGTAATTCTGACCAGCATTAAACCTTAGCTGGGTTCAGGTTTGAAAACAAGCAAGCCAAATATATATTGAAATATTGAAATAGTTTATATTATCGTACCTCCTCTTATTGAAGATCTATTGATAATAACAAAAATATTTTAAACTAGCAAATAACCTAATATTTATATATTTGCATTTTATAACTTGTGCCAAAAAAAAAATCAAAACTAGAGGAGCTTAGAAGTAACAAATAATGACGCATATTTGGTGACCGTGTCTTCTTCTGTTCACAGTGATTACTGATTACAGTGATAACCAGAAAACTCTGAAAAACGATGAAGTCTTCATACCAATACTTTACTGTATTTGATGTTGTTACAAAGCAAATAGTTTTACTATACACTGCTTTTATAAGTTTGTTTGTTTACTTTACGCTATTGCTGTGTCCAATGTTTATTGGACTATTTAAAGTTATAAAAGTTGTCTTCCTATTTCAGAGTTTTCAGGTTTTCATTGAAGCTGTTTTATTGTACTGTACTGCAGGAGCATTTACACTGCACCGACACAGTTGGTATTTAAAGTTGCGAAAGTCGTCTTCCTATATCAGAGTTTTCTGGTTTTCATTGTAGATGTTTTTATTTTACTGTACTGCAGGAGCATGTTTGTATTCCCCGGTTTACCTGTATAGATTGCCCAACCAGTCTAAAGTTTAGAACAAGATCTTTGCTCACTGATCATCTCGCCGAGGAGCATCCAAATCTCTCTATCAAGTGCCCACACTGCAGGTTGGAATTGTTGGTCATCTTTCTTCATTTTAACCCTTAAAAATGGAAAATCACTCGTATTTTAGTGTTTGATTAACATTTTGTGGGAGATATTTGGTAAATGGGGAAAATTTGATTTTAAAATGAAAAAAATCTCGATTTTATGCTGTATTTCATTTTTTTGGGAGGGAAGTAAATGTTTATTATTTATATTAAAATAATTTATTGGACACGAAAGAGGTATTTTTTATAAATATTTACCCCTGCTGTGTTGTGTTAGAAAAGAAAAATCGTTATGTAGACATTTTCATCTTTCTAATTTTTCTAGTGTCTAATATAAAAAATATTTTTTTGTTCTTTTTTTGCCTTGCATATTAAATGGAAATACATTTAGCCCCCGATTTGTATTCCTTTCCTCATTTTCCAAGGTTTACGAGTACTTACATACTTTCTGTTTTCAGGCTAATAAGTGGTTCAAAAACAAATCTTCTGCGTCATATACGAAGAGTTCATGACGACATCGGCGAACCGTCGGACAACGATCTCTTTCCTGTCCTGGAAGAGGAAGGACGGGTTGTGAGCTCGGAGCAGGACAAGGAGAATATAAACTCCAACTCCAGCAGTCCAAATCTAAGACCGGAGTCGAATGATACCACTATTAAACCTATTAATGCTCCCGCTAAGTTGAACTATCATCCATCTATTTTCGATGAAGATGAGATTGCGGAGAAGGATGCTGATACTGCTGAATCAAATGTTGAGGACGATGGTTTTGAACTATTTTCATTCTTAGAACGAGGTAAAAACATTAATCTAAAAAAAAAATTCTTCATTTATAATGCAGAAATTATTGTTTTGGATAAAAAAATTAAAATGTGACTTCAACGCGCCCGCTTGTTGCGACCTCTACTCTCAAACAATCCCTCTCACATTGTAGGTTCATGGTATAAATTCAAGTTCAATTACTTTTTTTAATTACAGTTTCCCATTTAATAAAACCAACAAGTTGCATTAATTCATTCTTGTGAATTTTGAGATGTTTCAGTATTGTTCTGTAAAAAATCGGCGAATTTACAACTGATGGGGCCAAATATTTTTAACATCTTAGATGATTTTAAGCTTTACTAAACAATATTATTCTTTCAGATTTTTTTATCCAGAGGAAATCATGTATAACATTTTTATGCTTCATTAAAATAATCTGTAAAAATTATGCATGCTACAATCTATCCATGCATGCTTGCTCACAATCTATCCATAATTTGTTTTGAATCTTCATGACAGAAACAAATTTCAAGAACTGAAAAAGACTAAAATATATTTTCAAAAAATGTGGAACTAACGCCTACATTTTTACTCTGTGAGGTTTGGAGTATCATTAACACCGAAATTTAAATCTACCCAAAGGGGTACAGATATTTATGACGCTACACAGTTTTCAGGAAAACATACACAATCACATTATCTTTTTTAGTTGAATCTCCCAAAGAATCTGATGAAGCTTCTCCAAAGGAGGCTTCCGATGCAAATAGAGCTGCTTCAAATGAGGCTACGGATAAAAATGGAGATGCTCCAAATGATGCTATGGATAAAGATGGCGCTGTTGACAAGGAGGCTATGAGTAAAGATGGAGTTTCGATCGAGATTATGGATGAAGATGTCTCTGAAAATGAGGTGCTAACTGGGGATGCCATAACTGATCAAGAACCAAAATCTGGTGCAGTGAATAACCAGGATGAAAAAATCTCTAAATCTTCAAAAATTCTAGAATCTTCTGAGGGAGATTTTACTGAGGCTGTATTGGCCAAGTCATCTGAAAAACTTGCCCAGAGTTTTAGGACTCCTCCTAGACTTACTCAAGCTCGGGCTCTCATCCCGACCACTCCAGCAATCAATCAATCTGTTGATACTCCTACTCACCTGGATATTCCTCCTCCTTCTATCAAGGTTCTTGAGGAGAATGAGGAGGAGAAAGAAACCTTCTCTTGCTCTTCATGCTCTAAACAGTTCAAGACTAATGCTCGGTAATATCTTATAAATGAATACGCTTGACTGGAAACTTTTGAATAAAAGGGATGGTGGAGATGCCTTTTTGACGAGGGGGCGGGGAGGGTCCCGGCCTTCATTTTTCCTCAAAATAAACTAATATCGGATCACTATTGACCTATAATTTAATGACCTATATTGACCTCGACAAATAGAAAATGTTACAACTAAGGTTTTATGCATATCAAACAAAACGTTTTCTATTTGTCGAGGTCATTAAAGGTCTTCAGTGGTCCAATTTTATTTTATTTTTGAAATTAGAACACAAATTTGGCATGTAGCCAAATATTTGGAAGATTTGAACCAAATATAAAGGAAGAGCTTTTTAACCCTTTTAGAAAAGCTGCATTCCTATCTGTTAATAATTGTTTGTAGGTATGCCCACCATCTGAAAGTTTGTGCAGGAGAAATATATCTAACTTATCAGCCATCAAGAAACAGAAACCCAAGGTATGTACAATGCACAAATTACATTTTTCCTCATGGTTTGCTTTTTATCACATCATCCGAATACTCTCTGACAGGTTTTAATGGAAGATAAGACAACCCGTTAACGAACTTTTTATATTTCCGTTATTTTCCGTCAATGCCTTTACCTCCTGAAAGAGTCAACTTTTTAAAAATGTAATTAATGAGAAAAAAAAGAGAATAAAATGTCAACTAAGAATATTCAGGATGGATGAACTATCTAAGAATATTTAGGATGGATGTATTAAGAATATTTGGAATGGATGAACTATTTAAGAATATGTAGGATGGATGAACTATCGAAGAATATTTAGGATGGATGAACTTTCTAAGACTTTTTAGGATGGATGAGTTATCTAAGAATATTTAGGATGTATGCACTATCTAATAATATATTGAGGATGGATAAACTATCTAAGAATATTTAGGATGAATGTACTATCTAAGAATATTTAGGATGGATGAATTATCTAAGAATATTTAGGAGAGATGAACTATCTAAGAATGTTTAGGATGGATGAACTATCTAAGAATATTTAGGATGGATGAACTATCTAAGAATATTTAGGATGGATGAACTATCTAAGAATATTTAGGATGGATGAACTATCGAAGAATATTTAGGATGGATGAACTTTCTAAGACTTTTTAGGATGGATGAGTATCTAAGAATATTTAGGATGGATGAACTATCTAAGAATATTTAGGATGGATAAATTTATCAGGATGGAGGATGATCTATTCGAAGAAAAGGAAATGTGTTTGAAATGTTGCAGACCAAACTATAAAGAGATAAATCTGGAAGAACATCTTAAAAAATGCAGGTCAGAGTTTTAATATTGAAAAGTGCTTTATTGTATATAAGATTGAGACTATATGATAACTGTACATAATTTTGAAAAAATTAGTCTAAAAAGTTTTGTTAGCTTTGTAGGGTTGGAAAATTACTGCTAGCTTTGTATGTTTGGAGAATAAATGTTAATTTTGTAATTTTTTATTTATTGTAATTTAGCATTTTTGTCATGAAGATGTATGTGAGCTTTGTATGTATACTGTAAAATGCATGATTGCTTTGTGTATTAAGTTAGTTTTGTAAAAAGTATGTTAGCTTTGTAAAAGTATGTTAGCTTTGTAGAAAAGTATGTTAGCTTTGTAAAAGTATGATAGCTTTGTAAAAAGCATGTTAGCTTGTAAAAGCATGTTAGCTTGTAAAAGCATGTTAGTTAAAAAAGCATGTTAGTTAAAAAAGTACGTTAGCTTTGTAAAAAGTATGTTAGTTTTGTAAAAAGTATGTTAGCTTTGTAAAAGTATGTTAGCTTTGTAAAAGTATGTTAGCTTGTAAAAGCATGTTAGCTTTGTAAAAGTATGTTAGCTTTGTAAAAGTATGTTAGCTTTGTAAAAGTATGTTAGCTTGTAAAAGCATGTTAGTTAAAAAAGTATGTTAGCTTTGTAAAAAGTATGTTAGTTTTGTAAAAAGTATGTTAGCTTTGGAAAAAAGTATGTTAGCTTTGGAAAAAAGTATGTTATCTTTGTAGAAAAGTATGTTAGCTTTGGAAAAAAGTATGTTAGCTTTGGAAAAAGTATGTTAGCTTTGGAAAAAAGTATGTTAGCTTTGGAAAAAAGTATGTTAGCTTTGTAGAAAAGTATTTTAGCTTTGGAAAAAAGTATGTTAGCTTTGTAAAAAAATATGTTAGCTTTGTAAAAAGTATTTTAGCTTTGTAGAAAAGTATGTTAGCTTTGTAGAAAAGTACGTTAGCTTTGTAAAAAGTATTTTAGCTCTGAAAAAGTATGTTAGCCTTGTAGAAAAGTACGTTAGCTTTGTAAAAAGTATTATTTAGCTTTGTAAAAAGCTTGTTAGCTTTGTAAAAAGCATGTTAGCTTTGTAAAAAGAATGTAAGTTTTGTAAAAAGTATGTTAGCTTTGTAAAAAGCATGTTAGCTTTGTAAAAAGTATGTTAACTTTGTAAAAAGCATGTTAGCTTTGTAAAAAGCATGTTAGCTTTGTAAAAAGCATGTTAGCTTTGTAAAAAGCATGTTAGCTTTGTAAAAAGCATATTAGCTTTGTAAAAAGTATGTTAGCTTTGTTAAAAGCATGTCAGCTTTGTAAAAAGTATGTTAGCTTTGTAAAAAGCATGTTAGCTTTGTAAAAAGCATGTTAGCTTTGTAAAAAGCTTGTTAGTTTTGTAAAAAGCATGTTAGCTTTGTAAAAAGCATGTTTGCTTTGTAAAAAGTATGTTAGCTTTGTAAAAAGCATATTAGCTTTGTAAAAAGCATGTTAGCTTTGTAAAAAGCATGTTAGCTTTGTAAAAAGTATGTTAACTTTGTAAAAAGCATGTCAGCATTGTAAAAAGTATGTTAGCTTTGTAAAAAGCATGTTAGCTTTGTAAAAAGCTTGTTGGCTTTGTAAAAAGCTTGTTAGTTTTGTAAAAAAGCATGTTAGCTTTGTAAAAAGCATGTCAGCTTTGTAAAAAGTATGTTAGTTCTGTAAAAAGCTTGTTGGCTTTGTAAAAAGCTTGTTAGTTTTGTAAAAAAGCATGTTAGCTTTGTAAAAAGTATGCTAGCTTTGTAAAAGCATGTTAGTTTTTTAAAAAGCATATTAGCTTTGTAAAAACTATGTTAGCTTTGTAAAAAGCATGTCAGCTTTGTAAAAAGTATGTTAGCTTTGTAAAAAGCATGTTAGCTTTTTAAAAAGCTTGTTAGCTTTGTAAAAAGCTTGTTAGTTTTGTAAAAAGCATGTTAGCTTTGTAAAAAGCATGTTAGCTTTGTAAAAAGTATGTTAGTTTTGTAAAAAGCAAGTTTGCTTTGTTAAAAGTATGCTAGCTTTGTAAAAGCATGTTAGTTTTGTAAAAAGCATGTTAGCTTTGTAAAAAGCATGTTAGCTTTGTAAAAGAATGTTAGTTTTGTAAAAAGCATGTTAGCTTTGTAAAAAGCATGTTAGCTTTGTAAAAAGTATGTTAGCTTTGGAAAAAGTATGTTAGCTTTGGAAAAAGCATGTTAGCTTTGTAAAAAGTATGTTACCTTTGTAAAAAGCATGTTAGGTTAGGTTAGGTTTAACATGCTTTGTAAAAAGCATGTTAGCTTTGTAAAAAGCATGTTAGGTTTGTAAAAAGCATCTTAGCTTTGTAAAAAGCATCTTAGCTTTGTAAAAAGTATGTTAGCTGTAAAAAGCATGTTAGCTTTGTAAAAACCATGTTAGTTTTGTAAAAAGCATGTTAACTTAGTAGCTTTGTAAAAAGCATGTTAGCTTTTTAAAAAGCATGTTAGATTTTTAAAAAGCTTGTTAGCTTTGTTAAAAGTACTTCAGCTTTGTAAAAAGCATGTTAGTTTTGTAAAAAGCATGTTAGCTTTGTAAAAAGTATGTTAGCTTTGTAAAAAGTGCGTTAGCTTTGTAAAAAGTATGTTAGCTTTGTAAAAAGTATGTTAGCTTTGGAAAAAGTATGTTAGCTTTGGAAAAAAGTGCGTTCGCTTTGGAAAAAGTATGTTAGCTTTGGAAAAAGTACGTTAGCTTTGTAAAAAGTATGTTAGCTCTGTAGGATAAAAAAAAAGTATGTGAACATTTTAGCTGTAAATTTATATTAGCTTTTTAAAACTCAAAATGAAGTTAAATGTGAAGTTCTTTTATAGGATAATTAGGAAAGATGGGAATATTTAAACGACTAAAATACTTTATATTTTTGAAAGTTTTTATTTGTATAATTTCGGTCTACCGTATAATCCAGAGATAATTTCAAGGATGTTCGAGGGGAGGAAAGCTTAAGCTGCCAACTTTTCCAGAAGCAATTCTGAGTCGAAGCATTTTTCGAAATGTCTTCTTTAAACAAATTTTATATTCTCGTAAACAAGAAAATGTGGACTTATTGTCGTTATTGTTGTAGACTTTTAGGTTTTTTTTCTTGAAACAAATTTAGCATTCAACTGTTGTGTTTAAAGTCGCCATTTTTTCATCGTTCTCCTATAACATAGTTTTGCGGATTTTATTTTTGTTAAAATGGGTAGCTTTTCAATATTAAATAAATGTCGACTTTTTTTAGGCAAAATTTTTCAATTTTGATCAGCAATAAACACCATAAAAATTCCGATCGGTTTTAATGTTCACTGCAACAGTACAAAAATTTATTAATAAAGATATTGAATTTTGAATTCTACATAATCCATAACAGAATTTTATAATCAAAAGAATTAATCCATTTTTTTCTGGTTTAAATTAGATCAAATCATTTATTTCTGCGGAAACAATTTTACAATTTAAAATGACAAGTAAAATATATAACATATAACAGATTCGCAGCGGGAAGATTCAATAGCATAGGGATTTTTTAGCCCGCCCTCCCCTTGGTAATTATTAAATTGATAAGTAAAAACCGCATTATAAGAATTTGAGAAGAAAATTTTCACGTTGGAAGTGCCAATGGAGAGATGAAGAGCAGAAAAGGAATAACAGAAACACAGAGAACATTTTTCTTTGCAAAAATGTATAACAAAATGGGCTTAACATGGTAACCATCAATGGTAACCACTGTTAGAATATCAAATTAAATTGATAATATTTTTCAGGGGGAACTTCCATCGGAGTACGAAAGTAGCCTGTCCTTTTTGTAAAAACCCTAAAAGGTAAATGAAAGTTTAAAAAAATGTAAGATATATTAAATTAAAGGCACTGCCCTTCATTAAAAGAGGGCTTATCCGATTCACACCGGTACCCTTGAAATTGAAAACTTATTCTGATCAATAATAACGTAGTTTTTCTAAATTGAAAAGATTTTTTCTCTTTAAATTTTACCATTGTTCCTGTGAAAGATACGTTCAAGCAAAGAATTATATTGTAAAGATAGTTATTTCAGAGGTGAACACAGTACTGCAGTGTACTGTCTCTGGGCTGTAAACATGGACATAGAATCAATTTTCACATAAAAAATCGATGAAATATGCTGTTCATAGAAAACTATTACGTAAATTATGAAAATTTTCGAAATTAAATGCTTTTATCCTCCTCGGATTTTAGAGGAACACTGATGCATCTATTCTTGTTTACAATCACCGCCCAGAGAGAACTGGTTTTAATATGTACGCAGAGAATACACAACAGCAATTAACTTTCCTTGCCTTATTACCTTGTGTTCAAGTAACTTTTACAGCGAAACCACAAATGAAAATAAACAAAAACATAACTAATTTGTTCTTGAGCAGATAAAGCTTAAAGGTTTTCATTGCTAATCAAAGGAGGGTCACTTATAATCATATTTACAGTCCTTTTAATCTTTCGGACTTCAACAGATACTGGATAAAGTCCTTTTAATCTTTCGGACTACAACAGATACTGGATTAAGTCCTTTTAATCTTTCGGACTACAACAGATGCTGGATTAAGTCCTTTTAATCTTTCGGACTACAAAATATGCTGGATTAAGTCTTTTTAATCTTTCGGACTACAACAGATACTAGATTAAGTCCTTTTAATCTTTCGGACTACACCAGATGCTGGATTAAGTCCTTTTAATCTTTCGGACTACATAATATGCTGGATTAAGTCCTTTTAATCTTTCGGACTACAAAATGTGCTGCATTAAGTCATTTTAATCTTTTAGACTTCAAAATATGCTGGATTGAGTCCTTTTAATCTTTTGGACTACAACAGCTGCTGGATTAAGGCCTTTTAATCTTTGGGACTACAAAAAATGCTGGATTAAGATATATTAATCTTTTGGACTACAAAATATGCTGGAGTTATACTTTCTAAAGACTGAAATGGTAAATATAATTTTGTGTTCTAGATTTTTCCAAACTCAGTCGATGTTAAAGGGACATATCGCAATACTTCATGCACATGATCAATCTAGGGTAAGAATATATTTAGTAAAATATTATTATTTAGTTTGCTCATTCTAGTATTCGGCATGGTTGGTAGGATATTCATTAAACTCTGATTTGATTTGATTTGATTTGATTTGATTTGATTTGATTTGATTTGATTTGAATTGAATAATGTTTTTATGTTTGTATATCTTATGTATCCAATATACTTCAACACAAATTAACGATTAACGTTTGACAACTTTTAGTGTGAACATGAACATTAGTTTAGATTTGATTTTTAATATATTTAGGAAAAGAAAATTTACTTTTTAAGAAATAATGATTATTTGCCAATTCTGTGTTTTTTTACGTTATAAATAGGCGTATAAGTATTTTTTTATAAATATATATTGTAAATTGCACAAGCTAAATTTTGGAATAGAAGTAAACGAGATGTTGTTAAATTAAATTCCATCCAATCTCGAAAAATTCGAAAACTACTTAAAAACTTTAAAAATATCCCAGAAATTTAAACAAGTACGGGTTTTAACCAAAAAGAATAGGGGGGGAATTAAACCCCCGAAATGACAATCAGATATTGGTGACTATAAAGCTGAGCAAGGGTCCCTTTAAATTAACTAATTAAATATATTGGTCAAAGTTTCTTTTTCGTTTTATTTAAATGTTAATGAAAGAATTTAACCCTCGTAATTTTGTTGATAAATGATTTATTCCAGGGGAAATGGAAAGAGATTCAGAAGAAACAAATTCTAGCAGAGGAACTCAAGATTCAGAATTTAGAAAATCCGGACGATTTGTAGGTACGGTACGGTACGGTACGGTTCAATACGGTACGGTACGGCATTGTGCGCCTCATTTCATCACAGTACAGTACAGTACAGTACAGTAAGATTTAAAAGTTTCATCATTTTTGTTAACTATTGTTTATTTATGACTTATTATATTGCATGAATTATAAGATAAATCTCTATAATTGTAAATAGTACCTTGCATTTAATTAATTGTTAGATATTAATTGTTATCTTGATAGAAATAAAATTTAATGTGATCTGATTGATTATTGCTTAGTTACTTTCTCTATTGACTACTGTTTTATGACCTTCAAAATAAATTTTTATTAAATAGCCAGGCGTAGTTGAACTACATAGACTTCGTTGAACCACTTATCAATTTGATCCGGCGCACATTAGAATAGGTTCAACTACTTATAGTTTTTAGATGTCGTTTTCTGTTAAAATTATTTTATCAATTCATCAAAAATAATTTCTTTTTAAAAGGATCTTTGTGTAACACATTGAGCTAAATAAATAGTAGAACTATTGTTGTTTTATTCTGAAAAGTTATATTTATTTATTATGGTAAAAAAACTCAAGAAAAAAACTTTGTTCGTAAAAATACACTTCATCACATTAGGCTGAATTCTAAATTATGGAGAGGCCCAGAGAGTCTTATTTTTTATGATCTAATAAATCTTTATTTTAAAATTGACTGTTGAGTGTTGACTCGTGCATTTTCAGTGATTTTAGTTATACCTTTAGTTTGGTATATCAATAGTCCCATGAAAGATAAAAAAATATATTTAAATCAAGCTTAAATCAAATTAATAAGAAGGATCAAATTTAAAAAATTTTCATGTAATTTAATCTAGATTATTTCTAATTACAGTCTATTTCTATAATTGAAAATTATTTTTCAGGCTGGACATTAAAATTAACTTTCAAATTGTCATTTACGAGTTTTCTGTCCTCATGAAAGTCTCATCATTTTCGAGTAACTCTGTATCTCCACTTTAACTGGCACTGTATGCCTAGTTTTAAATGACCTTTCATGCAAACAAGATGAATGCCCGAGATGTACAACGGAACCATTTATATCATATTTTTTCACATTAATTTCGAATTCCGTTAACGACCGGAGAAACGCGCGAACGAAATGAAAAGTTCATCGATCAAATACTAAAAGATGCGCTGTTTAAAGTTTTGTATGGAATTTATTCAATCTTTTTTCTTGCATTCACGATTCCACACTCCATACTGTCAACGGAGTCAACGTGTTTCTCTGTCAAATATTTAAAAATCCAAAATTTTGTCGTCCATATTTGCACCTTCAAAATTGACAGAGATATTAAGAAATTTGTCTAGATTCTTATTTATTTAATTACAACGAAATCTTTCAAATGTTTAATATCTCCGTCAATTTGAAGAAGTCAGACCACATTTTCAAAAGCTCATAAGAGGTTGACAACTCTGTTATTTATCAACTGACAATGAAAAAATCGAAATTCCCATGTTTATTGGGACAGCCTGTACACAATTATTAAATTTTAACACAGTATGAATCTTTGCAGAGATGCCCACGAAAATTATTCCACCAAGGATTCTTTCCGCAGTAAACTTTTTTCGTTTTTTACTAAATCACTTAATGTACCATTAAAACTGAGGTTTTAGCAGAACCATGTACTAATTCTTCAGCTATCATATTGTTATAGTCTCATTCTACAAGTAACCTGGAAAAAATTGGCATCAATAAAACAAATCCTTTAGTTAAAAACATTTATTAACAATATAACGAGTATAACTGTATCTTTAAATTCTTTTAGTTGCGTTGGAATTCTTCGGGAATGCATCAGTTTTTATCTGACATTTTTAGGCCCATGTACGACTGAAAAAAATGCAGTTCACTGCACTACTGTACAAGGTTTTGGAATGTGTTAATTCAAATGAAAGGCCATTTATGTACATACTGGCAAGAATAGTTAATTACAATCTGTACAAAAAATTAACTGAGTATTTTGAAGTATATAATACTAAGAAATTTACTTTCGGAGATGAATGGATTTCTGAGTTAAATTTATCACTATCATGTGTACTTTATGCATACAAATATATATATATGGCAGGTTTATGTCGGATTATTTAAAAATAACTCCTTTCATAAACTTTATGTATTATAAGTACTTAGACCGAGGTAATTAATTATTGTTTTTTAGAAAAACATTTCAATCTTCATCGCTATTGGTGAAAGTTGTCCTCCCGGATACTATTTGTTCACTTTAATTCTTAATAATCATGAATTAGACAATATATTGTGGACAACAATCATGAAAAATAAATTCACCAATTTTCAATAAATTTTGAGAAATGAGCATTATGGGCTGGGGGGGGGGATTTAAATAATTTTAATTGGGAAACTTTCTTTTACAATTTACGATATTAAATTTGTCCATTTGAAAAACATTTTCCTAATATCGCAAAAATCCCAATGATTGATTAACTACCTGATGTGTCTGGACAAGTTTTTCTTGAGCATGATCATCTGGCAGACATAGCAGCGTTTATGTAGAGGTCCGAGGTCTTCTTTAACTCCAGGAGGTGGAGGAGGTCGGTTCAGAATATCCAGGGGGGTCACAGGGTCTCCAGACACAACAATATGCTCCCCGGAGTAGACAGAGTCCTCGTTATCAGATCCGTCGTCGATCACCATGTTGTCCTCCTCGAACAGACGCATTCGCTTCTCTGAGGCTGTATCGGATTCAGACTCGAAGGATCGTTTGTGTGATGAGTCGTCGAGGCTCTCTAGAGGATCTACAACCTCGACTTTAGGTTTAATTGGCGTCTCATCAGGGACAGCAGTAGCACCAGGAGCCTTGATCCAGTCCTTTAAACCTTTAATCTGAAGAACCTCGGCGGTTTTCAGGAAAGAAACCAACCTCTCCTGTTCCAGATTGACCTCTCCGAGGTATACAAACTCCACGATAGACTGGAGGTCGTTAAACGGCACATCTCTGAGGACTAGGACGGGGTGTTGCCAGGGGCTGATTCCAGTCAGAAGTTCCTTGAAATATGTACTGCAGGCGCTTAGCACCACCTTGTGCCCCTTGATACTCTGCCCCTGAGCGCTAAGGGTCACATCCACGAAATCTTCCTCTTCTAAGATGTGCTTAAACGCGGAGCTCAGTGAAACCTGGTAGTTATTCCACTTCAAGCAGAACTGTTCACCCATCCTGGAGCAGGATTCAAGAATATCCAATAATTCTACTTTATACAGGAGACACTGGATACACTGGTGAGAGGAGAGAGTTAGGTCACTGAATGGATATGAGTTCTATAGGAGCAGGTATAACTCTGCTCAATATACCAAGGTCGGTGGTTGGAGGAGGAGGAGGAGGGGGGAGGTGCAACCAGTGGTTTGGGTGCAGATACTGCGCACTCCTAGCCGGGCCGGGTCGGATTTGTAACCGGTTTCTGGGAGATTTCAACGGAGGAAGGCAGAGCTAGCTGGCAGAGTATACTGAAACCACTGAGCGGTCTCTGTCTTATGATTGATTTGATTTGATTTGATTTGATTTGATTTNTTCTAATTATTTTCAGTTAAAAAATATACAGGAAAACTATGAAAGTTATATCTGCAGTTCCTGTCTCGAGAGAAATTTATATAAAACTGTGTCAAATTTATACGAAAATTCATATAATTTAGTATGAAAATAATAGGTTTAACAGATCATATGGTCACATGTCTCCGTATCTGTTTAATTACCATTCAAAATTGTAGATCATGTATGAATTTTCGTATAAATTTGACACAGTATATCAATTTCACTGATCCAGGGGGGGGGGCTCCGGGCTAAGCCCCATAGCCCTACCCGCCTCCCCCCCCCTGATTACGCATCTGTAGAAACATGGATCGGTATCAAAGGAGAAGTTGACTTAGGAGAAAGAAACTTAATGAAATAAAATCTAAGGCAAATGTAGAAACATAGTTATCAAAGGGACAGTCTTTAGAGAGAAAAACTTAGATAGACCTGAGCTGGGAACTTTTGAATTGTGGATATCGGGATTAATGCTTGATCTACTCTTTTTCTTAATCTCGAGATTAAATAATGCTTATTCTCCTCTTGTTATCAATCTCCAGATTAATTAACTGATCGGGATGAAGGATATCCCATTCAAAAGTTTTTAGCTCTGAAGTCTGATAAAAATGAAGAAACATAAATATCGAAAGTAAACAATTTACAGAAGAAAGAAACTTAACAGACATTAAACCTGAGAAAGATGTTGAAACATAAAGATAAGTTCATAATTTACAAAAATACGATTTAACTCTGGCTAATAATTGAAAAAGTATAAACCACTTAATTAATACAGTTTAAAGAAATCAAAGAATTAGAAACATTTATTAGAACTGATATTATAAGCATGATCTTTTTTTAAATGCAAGTTTTTTGGGCTATATTTATGATGATTTTTAGTTTAAGTCTTCTGAAATATAAGCTGGTTGGGCCGACTGCCTCCCCCCACGTCCCTGCAATGCAGCCTTTTTGACGGGGGGGGGGGGGCATTATATTCTAAGCCAAAGGCATTAACATAGTTGAAATCAAAGAACATTCAAGAACTGATGTTATGAATTATTATTATAATATTGATTACTTGTTCCATCCAAATTAATTCTTTTTCTCCCAGAAAAAAAATTTTAATTTCTGTCAGACAGTTTCATTTTTGTCACAAAACTTTTTTGTTTGGGGGTGGGGGAAGAGATAAAACCTGATTTTTTTAACAGATAGAACAATGGATGTCGTCTTTTCAAGATTTGGATGAAACATGTTCACAGTTCACAATAACCCTGAGGCAAGAAGCCCAAAGGAGTTTCGCGCAGTCGGCGTAGACTTCCAAAAACAGAGAGAGCCAACTGCTCGGAACTCCTTCGTACAATCGTCGCTGAAGTCTCATTCTTTGTGAGTAACCCTGTATATCTGGTAAATTAATACTTGTATATTTTGAATAAACAATCAAAATTATTACTGCAGAAAAATACATGAGATGTGTGAAAATTGCTTAACATTTTGTCAACTTTGTTTTAATAAAATTCCGAATTTGAAAGTTAAATGATTAGACAATGGCGAAAATATGTAAATATTTTTGAATGCAATTTTTGTATGAATTTATATCAGGATAAAAGGGTTAAATGATTATAAAAAGGAATTAAAACAATATTTTTAGATCTGTGACAAATCAAGGGTGTAATGCAAGGAAAGTTAATTGCGGTCGTGTATACTCTGCGTACATAATGAAACCAGTTCTCTTTGGGCGGAATTTGTAAACAAGAATAGATGCATCAGTGTTCGTTTTGTATCCGAGGAGGTTAAAAGCATTAAATTTTGATAATTTTGCTATTTCACATAATAGTTTCCTATGACCAGATTATTTCATTGATTTTTTATGTGAAAGATGGATCCCATGTCAGGCTTTGACATCCGTCTTGTGTTTACATTACCGCCCAGAGACAGTACACTGCAGTACAAAATATGTGTACACTTCTGAAATAACTTTCCTTTCATTACATCCTTGTGACAAATGTTCTAATTGAATAAAATGTAGATGTTGTGAAATAAGTTAATAATCCCTTAACCCATTTCCTGGAATTTATTCTCAATTTCTCCGAAATATTTATCAAATAATGCCATTTCATCATTTTTTTCTTCAGAATATGAATTTATTCCTTCTAAAATTAGTTAAAATCTGTGAAAAGATTGAATTCTCAATGATGCAGCAAAGAAAAAATTGTATTTTTTGTTAGAAAGTCCCATTTTTATAATATATATATAGATAATATATTGGAGTAAAAGTTGTTTTAATTAATATTTTTATCCTAATCTACATATATACTTTACTTGTCATGGTGTTTGTTTAATTGTTTGTATCCAATAAACGTAAAAACGGCTTAACCGATATGGCCCAAATTTAATATGGGACCTCAAAATCTCATGATCCCAGTGAAGGTAAGCTCAAAATTACAAAAATCTGTATCCAAAAGTTTTCATTTTGTAAAATTTTGAAAATGCGCGAACAAATATTATTAAATCCGCGAATTTTTTTTGTTATTGTTTTATATTTTACAAAGAGAAGATGCTTGCACAGATAAAGCCATAATTAAAAGTTAAAATAGACGATGAGCGCAAAGGGCCCTAAAAGCGTAGTACATATATACTTTGTTTGTCTGTCTGTTTTCTGGTACCCGATAAACGTCAAAATGGCTAAACCGATCGAACCCAACATTTTTTTAAATTCACATGACCCCAGGGAAAGTTTATGGACGGCTAGAATTGAAAAAATTGCCTAAAAATTTCGATTTTTCAAAATCCACGAAAAATGTCGTAAAAAGAGTAAAACTGAAAAGTTAAAATTTAATGAAGCCTAGTATTAATACATTTTGACATGTGAGAATCAGGAAACAGTAGAATCTTTTGGTATTCGACCTTTTTTCTTCTCAGTAAAATTTTGTAATTTGTAACTGAAAAACTATTTATCAGTTGCAACAATTGAAAATTTCAAAAGCCTTCACAACATTTCTTCAGTATAAAAACGAATTTTTCAAAAGAAGTTTCTCCTTGTAGTATTTTTGTATACAAAGCTTTTAGGAAACTTTTAGGGCGCTTCAAGTCCATCTTGAATTTCAACTTTTAATTGTGGCTCTTATTTCTGAGCATCTTCTCTTTGTACAGTATTAAACAAATTACAAAAAAAATGTCGTGGATTTTTTCGTGGATTTTCAAAATTTTTAACAATTCAAAAATTTTTGCAGACAAATTTTTGTAATTCTAAGCATCTATAAAACTTCCTTGTAATCAATTAAGGCCCATCAACTAATTTGGGCCCGATCTGTAGGGCCGTTTTAACGTTTTTCGGTTACAAACAAAGACAAGCAAAGTATATATATAGAAGAGGAAGATGAATTCATTTGAATCTATTGTTTTGTGCACAAATTCTCTTCAGTAATATTTTGTATATGAATTCATTTCATAAATATTGTATTGTATTTAGTTTGTAGTAATTCATTTTCATTTTTTATATGCATTCATTCAGTAATATTTTTTATATACATTCATTTTTATATTCATTCATTCATTATATATTTATTTTAATAGTATTTTTATAATTTTAGTAATATTTCTTATGAACATTCAATTTATTAATATTTTTTGCGTACATTCACTTCAGTAATATTTTTTATATGCATTCATTTTAATAACTGTTTCATATATATTCATTTTTGTAATATTTTTATAAACATTCATTTTAATAAAATTTTTATATACATTCATTTTAGTAATATTTTTATATCCATTCATTTTAGTAATACTTTTTATATGCATTCATTTTAGTAATATTTTTTCATATATTAATTTTAATAATATTTCTATATGCATTCATTTTAGTAATATTTTTATAAACATTAATTTTAGTAACATTTTTTTATTACGTTATATTTTTATATACATTAATTTTAGTAATATTTTTATTTACATTCAGTTTAATAATATTTTTGCAAATACAATAGATTCACTTTTGTAATAATTTTTTTAGTAATGTTTTTATAAAAACAATAGATTCATTTTGTAGATTCTTTGTAGATTCATTCCTTCTAGTAATATTTTTTAATTTAAACAATGACATGTTATCCTAGATTCAATTTATCGTTGTAAATTGAACGGATGTACATGAGTCACTTAAAAATCTGTCCTTTAGAGTTGTTAAAGTCCTGACAATGTTCTATAACGGGCCCAGGATATTGTTGCACCTTGTATAACCGGTAAAATGTAATCTTTTGTCTTGGCTTGGAATCCATTGAGTTAAGTTCAGCTCAATTTCAAAATGTTACTCCGTTTTTGGGCGATGTTCTAGAGAGGGGTTAATAATTTTGTAGATTTTAAAACTTTTAAGGTTCTCTTAGATTCCTTTTGAGTTCGTTTTTAGAGATGAAAGAATTTCAAAAATGAAATCTTCATAATGAGTATATTAGTACACCCCATGTTCCCCGTAGTTTTGAGTGTAATAACGCAACTCTCCGCTTGCTGCTTAAATTCAGTTGCCAGGAGGCCTTACTGCAGATAGCAGGCACACACCCTATAGTGAAACACATCATTGTTATGTCATGCAAGCTTGGAATTTAAACGATCAGCGGTATTTTAAAATACAACGCTACACTACAATATTGAGCTAAAATATACACTTTATAACCAAAACTTTTCAGAATACTCAAAACTAAATGTTGAAAATAGGGCCTTTTAGGTTTGAATGTTAACATTTAGGGCTACAAAAAAATATGATTTGTTTAATGTGTGAAGACAAGGGTAAAAGCCTAGCTACAATTCAGATTAGGTCTGGTAGTAATATTTTATGCACAGTTTTTAAAGCTACGAAGATTGTTTTGACTGTATGTAATGTTAAACTAAATCATTAAGATTTCGTCGATATATAAATATTGAAACCAAACATATTCTAATTATTTTCAGTTAAAAAATATACAGGAAAACTGAGAAATCC